TGTATATAGATTGATTAATTAGTTATTGATAAGGGTTTTGTGTGTTTTTCTAATTGAATTACTCTGTATGATTTGAGAATAATTATAGAAGATAATGATTGCTCAAGAGTACGGAACCTTAAGAGAAAAACATCGAATGGAAATGTAGCATCGATAAATCAAATATCAAATCTATGTTCGAGGGCCTTAGATAGTTAGGTAAGCCAATTCATTTTTCAAAGAAAGAAGGAACAGCATCAGCTAACATTTGATCGAACCCGTTCACTTTGGTTAGTCATATGTTCATAGTGTTTATATAAGCTAATGATTCGGTTATAACTAACTTGCATACCAATAAATTGCATAGAGTTTTTTTCTCTCGATTTTTTTTTAAAAGGAAACTTCGTGACATTTAACCTGATTTTAGGCGAAACCATTAGTATTTCGTGGATGCAAATTTAATGACTATGCAAAGTAGGTGAGCATGTAAATACAGTATGTAATAACGATAATTTTGGGTTTAGCCTACCAACCGTTTCTTTCCGATTTCGTAATTATCGTTACCTTTTATAGCAATCATGCTTTTATTTATTTCGCAAACGAACATGTGTTATATATAAACAAAGCATCATTAGTCTTAATTAGCAATATGGCAGTTACAACTTACAAACTGCTTTAATAAATGAATTATATGTTGTCATCATAGCAAAAGAGGGATATATGTTGTTGAAGAGTTTAAAGTCATAACGCAGTACTATACAGAGATATCAATTTTATAGTTATGCTATATGTAATCACTAATGTTCAACAACAATATAATTTCACGTGTTTAAGGAAATATGTACTTACAGTGATTGTCACAATGAGTGGGTCTATGCATTTATGCACAAGAACTGACAGGATAACAAACAGAAGAGAGGAATGGGGTAACTTATAAAAGAGAAAGGACCAATCTATGCCTAGTTTCATTGAAACACAACCCGAGAAATTGATAAAAAGTCGTTACTACCGGATAAGACTTTTAAAGGTCCAAAATCTTATGCAATCATTCCCATTTGACAACAAACTTAAAGTATATGCTGAGAGTAAATCATTTGAACTTTTAAAGGTCCATAACTCCAGGATCCTAATTCTTTGGGCTACATTATAGAGCCTTTTGAGCTGCAAATCCATATAACAGAATCAAAATCAAAACGTTGATTTATTGACCAATTACCATAAGGGAGATTGGTCTGGGGACAATAGAGTAAATAAGTTGAAAGATTGTAGGGTGAGTTTTAAGGAACGTGATAATGATGAGACAGGGACCCACACCACGCAAGAGAAATCAGCTGCCTCACAAATGAGAGAGAGAGAGACGCACACATCGTTAACTAGTGTCGTCGTGGGTTCCTCTCTCAGCCCTAGAAAACCAATTCATTTTCATGTGCCTCTTTCACGTTAAAGCTGAATATAAATCTACTTAAAATAAAAGTTAATATTTTGGTCGACCACTATTCTTTCATTTCAAACGTTGTTGTCTTTTACCTATTCCCAACACAAATATTCTAATTGGTCTTTTTCCATTTAAACATATATATGTAAGTTCATCTATCCACCTAAAAATATCCTAATAGTGATTTAATCAGGGTTTGGCGATCTTTTTGTTAAAAAATGCTAGCAAGTAGTATACAATATTTTATAAGACATACATGTATATGTTCCTTTTCGGCCACTCCAGCTGATTACATCAGCCCATCAGTCGAAAATCTTGAACAGTTACTGCAATACAGTGTTCCGACTCAGATAAATCTTGTCTCATTCGAGAGGTTAGTACAGAGGAGGTTAAGGGGGTTTTGTTTGCAATGCCCAATGATAAGTCGCCTGGCCCAGACGGCTTTACCAGCGAGTTCTTTAAGCAAACCTGGCCGACTGTTGGTCATGATTTTACAGTGACGGTCCAGTCCTTTTTTCTGAAGGGTTTCCTTCCCAAAGGGATCAACTCCACTATCCTAGCGTTGATTCCCAAGAAAGAAGCAGCTCAGGAAATGAAAGACTACAGACCAATCTCATGTTGCAATGTAGTCTACAAAGTCATTTCCAAGATCATAGCAAACCGTCTTAAGCAGATTTTTCCAGATTTTATTTCCCCAAACCAGTCTGCATTCGTAAAGGATAGATTACTAATAGAAAATGTTCTATTAGCTTCAGAGTTGGTGAAAGACTATCACAAGCCATCGATATCGCAGAGATGCGCTACGCAAATTGATATATCTACTCGGTGCAGTGGGATTTCTTGAGGAATACTCTTATCGCGCTGGGGCTTCCAGAACAGTTTATTCATTGGACGATGCTGTGTGTGTCTACTGCATCATTCTCAGTTCAGGTCAATGGTGAATTGGCGGGGTTTTTCCGAAGTCAGCGTGGTCTGAGGCAGGGCTGTTCTTTGTCGCCATACCTGTTCGTGATCTGTATGCATGTGTTATCTAAGATGCTTGATGAGGCTGCAAAAGCAAAGAAATTCGGCTTTCATCCGAAGTGTAAGATTCTTAATCTAACACATCTTTGCTTTGCAGATGATATTATGGTATTCTCGGATGGGAAGAAGCGCTCTATGGAAGGGATCATCAAAGTTTTTGATGAATTTGCAGTAGCTTCGGGTCTCAAAATCAGCTTGGAAAAGTCGACTTTATACCTCGCTGGAGTTGATGTGAACCAACGCCAAGAATTAGAGAATGCATTCCCATTTGGCTCAGGATCTCTGCCTGTTCGCTATTTGGGGCTTCCCTTGCTTACAAAGCGGATGTCGAAAGCTGATTATTCGCCCCTTATTGAGAAGATCCGTACTAAGATCAGTGGCTGGACAGCTAGAGCACTTTCATATGCAGGTCGTTTGCAACTTATCAAATCATTCCTTGCAAGCGTATCAAATTTTTGGATCTCGGCATTCAGGCTGCCTCGATGCTGTATTGATGAAATAGATAGTCTCTGCTCTGCATTTTTATGGTCAGGCCCTACTCTGAATACTAGAAAATCTAAGCTGGCTTGGGATCGTGTCTGTCGTCCTTTGGAGGAGGGAGGTTTGGGTCTGAGACCTCTGAGAGAGGCGAACAAAGTCTGTTGTTTAAAACTGATTTGGAGAATCCTCTCTGCTCGTGGTTCGTTGTGGGTTATCTGGATCAACATGAATCTTATCCGGAAAGGTTCCTTTTGGTCGCTGCAGGAGAATTCTGTCTCAGGATCTTGGATATGGCGGAAGCTGCTGAAGTACAGAGCCATAGCTTACAATCTCTACAAGATTGAGGTGAAAGATGGAATGTCTACGCAGTTCTGGTTTGATCGTTGGTCGATGATGGGTAAGATTCTGGATGTTACGGGTGCAAGGGGCGTTGTGGACTTGGGGATTGCAGCACACGCCACAGTAGGGCACGTTTTTGATAATCATAGAAGAAGGCGTCATCGCCAAACTCTTCTTAATGATATCGAAGATGTCCTGGATCAAGCTCGTCAAAGCAGAGTTAGAGGAGAAAATGACAGAGTTCTATGGAGGCAGTCTAGTGGTAATTTCAAACCGAGCTTCTCAACTAAAGAGACTTGGCTGCAGTTGCTACAATCTTATTCTCGAAATGATTGGTACAAAGGCATATGGCTTAAGAATGCAACACCAAAGTTCTCATTCATTGCTTGGCTAGCGGTTCACAACAGACTAGCCACAGGAGATTGACTTAGACAGTGGAACTTTGGAGCATCGGACCAGTGTATGCTCTGCATGCAACAGGGCGAGTCGCGCAATCATCTCTTCTTTTCCTGCAGTTTTTCGATGCAGGTGTGGAATTTCATTACAAAGGGGCTTTTGCAGCAGAGATGGAGTGAGGAATTGAACACTTGTGTTGATCTTCTCACTCAGAGCAGTTCTGATTTTATTGGCTACTTTTTGTATCGCTATGCTTTTCAAACAGCAATCTCTGTGATTTGGAAGGAAAGAAATGGGCGACGTCATGGCGAGCCCCATCACACAGCGCAGACCTTGAGCAGGCTGATTGATCGTACAGTGAGGAATCGGATACACTCGATTCGAACTCTACAACCTCGCTACAATGAGGCACTAGTCACCTGGCTTGCAGCTTTGGAGGCTTAACATTCAAAACTACTTTTCTTTCAAAATTTTACTTTTTTTGCATCTAATGTAAAAAAGGACAGCTATTTTTTTTGGTGATGAATATAATTTTACATTCTCTTCAAAAAAAAAATTGTCATGCTTTTATCACACTGTTCGTACAATAATACTAAGTTTATGATGAATTTGTGCTGCCTCAAATATGTACATAATGCATCTATTGAATGCTTGTCCATGCATGTCGTATATTATGGTATATATAACGAGTTGGATTGCATCACTTGCATTATATCGTTATGAGTCATATATACATTAATTATTTATCGTATGTCGGGTCACAAGAACTTATATATAAGAACCTGTTACATTTTAGAAAGATAACCTATATGTGTTAAAACCTTTGGGATTATTTGTCCATACTGGCAGTTTTTTAATCAATTGGTACTGAGACATAATACATACTTACTCTAATTTAGCCCAAAAAATAAAAATAAAATACAATACACAAGGAATATTATGGCTTATGGATAGTGACATAGTGTATGAGTAAAGTTTACTTAAAGGTCGTCGCGACGTGAAGATTCGCTTCCAGATTTATGTACGTCTATGTTTCTCATCCAACGATTCTTATTTGATCTCAAGATCACTGCAGAATTCTTTCAACGGCTGCGATTTCCAAGGTCTGCTGACGCCAGCGATTTTAATAAGTGACGTCAACAGGCTTTTATAGGAAAAAAAAAAAACAATTCCTTCTTTGTTTCCATTTAAAAAAATCGCATCTAATGGTTCAGATTTGTTTTGATGTTAATCCAAGGGTGGTAATGTCTATCTTCAAAACATTGTTGTTGTTTGTTAATGGAGATTCCTCTCTCTCTATTCACCAACTTCTTCATTCCATTTCTAATATATCGAAAGAAACAAACCATCTTTTTCTCATTTTGATAAAATCCTCTGGCACTTCTTCTTATTGCCTCTTTTTTCGTTGTCTCAGACAACCATCTGAGGATCTCTCGACTTATTCTTCATTTGGTCGACTTTGACTTTGACTTGTTCGAACTTCACTTCTCCGTCGTAAGTATACGTTCTTTCCGATCGACTCCGCTCTCTACTCCAAGGTAAGGATTAACTTTCCGGTGATTATGCTCTCGCAAATTTACTTCATTTGATTGGTGCTCATTTCTGATATTTCGTTGTTTTCTAAGATTTAATTTTTCTTTGGTTATTTATCGTGTTATTATGCATGGTTTTATTCAAAAGGCCGCAGATTTCGGAATTAGGATTCTGGGAATTGCAGAAAAATCAGCTCTAGATTTACACTGTCTTAAGTTTGACTTGGAAATTGTCTCTTCTTTAATTCCTCATCTCGCAGATTGATTCCGCGCCGCCGGCTGTAGATTTCTCTATTGCCACCGATCTTCTTCTACTCTGCGCCGCCGGAAACATTCTCTGTTTTGATGGCTTTGGGTTTGCCGCGCGCTCTTCGAGAATACTATGACTTTGGGTTTATTCGAAATTGATGATCTGTGGGGTTTTGGGTCAACGAGCTCAGTTTCTTCTTCGTCGCATCTACTTTGAATTTGGGTTTTCTTCAAAATTGAAAACCCGCTTTGAAGAATAGCAAAAAGGCTCTTCCTTTATCTGAATCGAGACGGGTCACTTGGTCAACCATGGAGTCAACGAAGGTTTGCATGAACGCACAGTGTGGAGCGGCCTCGACGTCCGGCGAGTGGAAGAGAGGCTGGCCGATGCGATCCGGCGAGTTAGCCTCTCTCTGCGACAAGTGTGGGTAAGCAACACGAGAGGATGCTCCATATTTTTTTTTCCCATTCAATTTTGATTTCTGAAAGTGTTGGTTTTGGAATAGTTCTGCATACGAGCAATCCATTTTCTGCCAAGTGTTCCACGCCGAGGAATCTGGTTGGAGAGAATGTAATTCATGTGACAAGGTGAAGATAATCCATGGCTTACACTTGTTTTTGCGCTCAGCATATTCCGGTTCTTATTCTTAATACGTTACTTATGTGTGTGTGGTGTTTTCACAGCGTCTTCACTGTGGATGCATCGCTTCAAGATTCATGATGGAGCTTCTAGATAACGGCGGCGTTTCCTGTATAAGCTGTGCCAAGAAATCCGGATTTTTCTCTGTAAGGCTAATTCCCTTCCCTGAATCAAACTTGTTGCTAGGGGATGCTTCTTTGGTCATGGATTCTCTCTCACTATACTCGTGCAATCTCTCTTATAGATGAATGTCAACCACGAAGCCAATGGTAGAGGCTTCCCTTCGTTTGCTTCACCAGAGCATGGGACAAATCTCAAGCACTTGCTTCACTTTCAAAGAATCGGCTCCACTCAGTCTTTTTTCCAAATGAAGCAAGAAGACTCCCTGCTTCCTGCTCTAAGACACAAAACTGAAAAGCAAGAATTGTCTGCGCAGCCAAACTTGAGCATTTCGCTTGGATTTACGAGTCCGTTTCATGATGCTGTTGTTGATGACACAAGTAAGGCTACTCCGATTTTTCAACTGGCCCCTCGGTCCAGGCAACTGCTTCCAAAACCTGCAAACTCAGCTCCCACTTCTGCTGGCATGGAGCCTAATGGGAGCCTCGTTTCACAGATTCATGTCGCTCGTCCTCCTCCAGAAGGTCGCGGAAAGACCCAGTTGCTTCCCCGTTATTGGCCTAGGATTACTGACCAGGAGCTCCAACAATTATCTGGACAGTATCCTCATCTGTATGTTCATTATATCGTCTCTCTGTTTCTTTTTTCATGCACTATTGTTGTATGCTAAGGAGTCCTTGACTGTTTATTCTCCAAGCTCAAATTCAAAAATCATACCGCTCTTTGAAAAAGTCCTGAGTGCAAGCGATGCTGGTCGTATCGGTCGACTGGTTCTTCCCAAAGCATGTGCAGAGGTAACTTGTCTCTCTGTACGCTTATTTGATATCCCCAAACTGTAGCTATCAGCTATAACCTTGTATGGTGTTATGCAGGCATATTTCCCTCCAATCTCTCAACCTGAGGGCCTCCCGTTAAAGATACAAGACATCAAAGGGAAAGAATGGGTGTTCCAGTTCAGGTTTTGGCCTAATAATAACAGCAGGATGTACGTTTTGGAGGGTGTGACTCCTTGCATACAATCCATGCAGTTGCAAGCTGGTGATACTGGTACTTTTCAAACGCAAAGCGTGACGATCATGTGTTGTGTTCGATGAGAACATCGAAATACATTTTGATTTGGTCTGATGTCTTGGGTTTTTCCATGTTCTTTGCAGTGACGTTTAGCCGCACGGAACCTGAAGGAAAACTCGTGATGGGATACCGTAAAGCGACAAACTCTACAGCAGCACAGGTAAAAAGCGTGCCACTGGTGAAGTAAAGTATTAGATTAAAAGATTCCTTTTTGGTGCTCTCATAAATTATGAATTTAATGAAAGATTTTTGCTTTGGTTTCTTCAGATGTTCAAGGGAAGCAGTGAACCCAATCTTAGCATGTTTAACAACAACTTGAGCCCGGGGTGTGGTGATATCAACTGGTCTAAACTTGAGAAGCCTGAGGACATGGCAAAGGATAACTTATTGCTTCAGCCGTCACTAACTTCTGCTAGGAAACGTGTTCGGAACATTGGCAATAAGAGCAAGCGACTGCTCATTGACAGCGTAGATGCTCTAGACCTGAGAGTAACTTGGGAGGAGACACAGGATCTTCTGCGGCCGCCTCAATCCGTTAAACCGAGCATCTGTACGGTGGAAGATTACGATTTTGAAGAGTATGATGTGAGTTTCTGTTTACCTGTTTACTTCTCACAAGCAGCTGGACCTTTACACTATGAGTTTTTTTTATATCATGTACCTGCTGTGTTATGCAGGAACCACCAGTTTTTGGGAAGAGGACCGTTTTTGTGTCACGTCAAACAGGGTGAGGCCTAATGTACTATGTAATGATAGGATCAGAAGAATTAAGCATGCTTAGAATGATCAAAGAACGTGTGAATATTTTGGTTCTGAATATTTTGAATTCTCAGGGAACAAGAGCAATGGGTTCAGTGTGATGCTTGTGGGAAATGGCGACGGCTGCCTGTGGATACTCTTCTTCCACCAAAGTGGTTGTGCTCCGATAATGTCTTGGATCCTGGCAGGTAAACGAGATTGCATGCTCATGTTTACACTAGTACTAGTTAGCAGAGAACATTGCACATTTTTTCTCCAAAAATTTTGAGTTTCTGTTTGAAATGTCAGGTCATCATGTTCTGCACCTGACGAACTCTCTCCAAGAGAACAGGATACACTTATCCGGCTGAGCAAAGGTATGATCCTCAACCATTATCGTTCTGTTACATTTTAGAAACGAAACTCTAAAGTTTTTTTCTTTCCACAGAGTTCAAAAGGAGGAGACTGGCATCATCAAACGAAAAGCTAAACCAGGAGCAGGAGGCATCTGCTCTGGATACTTTAGCAAACGCAGCCATCACCACGACAGGTGGACAAGGGGATACAGCGGTTGCAGCCACGACCAAGCATCCAAGACACCGGGCAGGTTGTTCTTGCATCGTCTGCAGCCAGCCGCCGAGTGGGAAAGGCAAACACAAGCCTTCGTGCACTTGCACTGTGTGCGAGGCAGTGAAGAGGCGGTTCAAGACGCTGATGATGCGGAAGCGGAACAGAGAAGAAGCAGGGCAGGCAAGCCAGCAGGCGCAGTCAGAGTGCAGGGACGAGACAGAAGTGGAGAGCATTCCAGCGGTTGAAGCAGCCGCAGGTGGAAACATTGACTTAAACACAGACCCTGGGGCTTCTCGAGTGAGCATGATGAGCCTTCTCCAAGCTGCAACCTTTCCTCTGGAGTCATATCTGAAACTAAAGGCTATTATTCCCAATACAGCAGCAGAACAGCAAAGCAGTGATATGGTAAGCACAGAGCACGGTTCGTCCTCAGCTGCACAAGAACATGACAGAGACACAAGCGGAGCTCCTGAGTCCCTGAACTAAACTAACCCCATTTGGAATCTTCCAAGAGTATTTATTCTTCAGAGGTATGTTTATTTATGTATACTACTACCTTCTTCGGTTTCGTCCCAAATTTGTGGAATGGTTACGACCATTCTACCAATTGTCGATCGAAGAAATGAGGAATTTATTGTTTCCTTCTCCTTTTTTTATGTGTTTTGGTTTTGGTTTTTGGTGTGTGGTGAGGCTTGAGAGAGACAAAAGAGATGGGAATCTTGATGAGGTTTTGGAAATACATAGGACGATTGTAATTTGTATATACGGGTCAAAAATGAAAACGTACAATTCTTCGAGTTTTTTTTCATTATACTAAAACCAAAGGTGACAACACAAAAGCTTTTTATTATGAGCTCTTCTTGCCCGTTTTCGATTTGGTCTCACATTGAGTTATATAAGAACTTTACTTGTTGCTTACTTAGCCTTTTGACCTAAAAGAACCATTGTTTTTGCATTCTCGGAGAAGATACGAGGGAACTTAGATTGTGTTTGGTAAAGTTATATTTCCAATATGATCTATATCGTCTGCTATATAATTAAGCAGAGCCCAAGTGCTCACTACTATATCATCAGAACAAATCATAATCAATGACATGCTACCAATAAATACTAAGCTTCGACGCACGGAAGAAGTTCCATGGAACAGCTCGAAAGCAGCATCAAGGAACACACTTTTTCAATACATAAGCCTATAATTGAGAAGATGTCAGAAAAAAAAGCCTACAACTGATATGACTAAATCCTAATCCAGGTTATATAGCCGGTTTTGGCACGTGAAACGATTAACTAGCCTAGGGTGTTTTCTAACAAAGTCATTGTTACTTTGATGATGTGCATTTTTCAGCTCATATCATTAACTTTGATAGTTTGATGCTCTATCTATAATTCTGAGGCCAATGGTTTGTTCGGGTCTGAATATTGTATTTTCCGGTTTCTCATCCGGTTCAACCTAACCGAAATCACCAACCCCCATCTTTTCAAAAATCAATTATAGACCCCTTAAGAAGTAAATAATTAAATAAGAGCAATAATAGTTTTAAAATTATATTATTTGGGCCGGCCAAAGTTGAGTGAGTCGGTTCGATTGACTGATTCTGAAACGATTCGCACAAACTTCACGCCATTCCTATCGTCAACTTATACGTGTCTTATTCTGATTGATTAACATGTCCTCCAATACGTGGACTCTGCCTTCTTACTCCTCTTTATTTAATATTTATGACCATATTTGCCCCCACTTAATTCCGCGTTTTTCTAATGAAAAATCTCGTCTCATTTTCCTCTTTTTTTATTAACACAAAATACAGATTATAAAATTATACACATACATACCACAAGCAGAAAATGGGGTTTAATATAAGTAGGTAGTTATCCAAAGTTTATAATACTAAAATGCTAATGGCATTTTCTGCACTAGTTAGATGTTTAAATAATTTTGTATTAGTGAAAATGAAAGAAACAAAAAAAAAAGGGGGAAAAAAAAATTCCGTGGTCAAAGAAGTTGGACGAGCGTTGTGGCAATAGAGTAAATAGATACGAAAATGAAGGGTGATTTACAAGGGATTTTTATGGTAATAATGGAGGGGCGAGAAAAAACATGAGAGAGGTGGGGGAGCCGGAGAGTGGGACCCGCAAACACGCAAGAGTAACAGCGTAGGTTTTGGTAAGGTAAGGTCGTCTCGTCGTGGGTTCCTCTCCTAACCCTAGAAACAAACCACTTCATTCTCACGCGCCTCTTTCTCACATTAATACGTAATTTTTAATAGAAAAATATATAAATTCGTTATTTTTGGTCGACCACTTCTTTCAAATGTTAGTTGTCTGTCTTTTACTTATTCCCAACACAAATATTAATACTTGGGTTTTCCCATTTGCACATATATATAAATTTCTCTACCACCTAAAACTATCTTACATTTAATCGACATACATATTTATATGTCCATTTCATTCAAATAGATCGACCAACTAAAGATGTATCAAAGATATGATGTCTAAATTCATGAATCATGACTTGACTAAATACAGATGTTAAATATTAAAAATTTCAAATCGAAGAATAATTATCAAAATTTAATAAATGCAAGCTTAAAATTGAAGTTTATCATCAAAGTACTAACGAATTGGAGGTTGTTTTTTTTTAGAGATGCATGTATGTGATAAGTTGTCAATTTGTCATGGTTTTAGTACCAATTATTTTATACCCAAAAGACCAGAGAATATTAGATGAATGTGTATTGCCTCAAATTCGTTGCAAATAATTGTTTCTGATATATTACATAATAATCATGCTCAATCACATTTGTATATGATGAAACTGTTACATGTCATGTTGACCAATGTATTCTTACTATCTTTGGGGTTCTTTGTTCCATTTAACAGTTTTTTTTACTAGCTTTTTAATGTTTAAATGCTTGTAACTATTTGTTAATCATTGAATGTCATATGTAATCGTTTTATTCACCTTTTTTGTGAATATATAATTTTTTCATTCTTCTTAAGACATAGTCAAAGTTTAGAATTATAGTTTGCAATTATAGATGCATAGTGTATAAAAATAAAGTAAAGTTTACTTAAAGGGTGAGACTATATTATTTAATTAAATGTATGATAAGGAAAAAGACAAATGCGCATTTAGAGATCTTTTGCTTTAATATGGTCGGCCAAAGCTACTTTTAAAAATTCAGTCATTTTGTATTATTTGATAACTTGATTGAGTTATAAACAAGCAGAATTGCACAATAACCTTTATAACAAATATACTCCATGTCCATGATAAATTGAATTAAGTTGGGTCCGATTGATAATTTAAAACAACACGAATATTTTAACAGCTAAGAGAGAAATATTAAGCAGGAATGAAATAAAAATTATAGCAAGAGAAAACAAAGAAGCCATGTATAATTGCTTATTATTAAATTGGTATACCTCATACGGTAATAGTATATGATTATCAATCAAATCTGTTAAAATTACATGAACATTGGTACGGCATATAACAAGTAGAGACAGAATTTCTGTACCATACAACGTTTCTACTATTGAAACGATTATTAACATATTAAAAATAAAGGAGATATTCTTTAACCAAATAACAAGATATATAAAGTCGAAAAACAAGGAAATATAAAAGAAATACAGCTGTAAAGAAAAAGAAAAAAAAAAACTAAAAAAGAGAAACAAACCTAGCGCGTGTCACTCACGGACGAGAAGCGAGATTTGGGTAAGAAACCGTCTAACGCATTTGTGAAAACCGTGTATAAAACCACCGTTCCTCATCTCCTTCCTCCACCACATGTGTTCATCTTCTTCTAAATTATCTCACCTTCTCTTCCCTTCTTAATTTTCTCATTTTTTTCTCGAGAAAATCTCAAAATCTCCTCTTCTTGCTCTTACTACAAGCCATGGGCGTCGCTGTTCTAAATCCTCAGGACTGTTTGAAGCAACCTTTCTCTCATATGAAATATCCCCGTAACCCTAGCGCATGCCCCAACAGGCAGAGAAAGCCGGTTCCTAGCCGCAATCGCCGGAGTCCTCCGCGCAATCAGGCCACAAAATCTCCTCCACCTGTAGCGCCGCCGCTTCCTCCTTCTCGCGCTACCGTCTCTCAAAAGGCACCGGCGAAGAAGAATCCCAACAACAGCGTCGTCGTTGGAAAGGTGAGGATCCTGAAGCGCGGCGAGGAAATCCCTAAGAAATCCACAGATCTGATTGTGGAAAAGCCAGATCTGACATCTACTCGTCGAATCGGACCAGATCCGGGCATGATCCGTATCTCCGTGCGAAAATCCAAGGCAGCACCGTTTTACGCCGGTCCTGTGACCATGACCTCGCCGCCTCCGAGCGACGTCCCGCTTCCAGCCTTTTTCACCACGAAGAAGAGCGTCTCTCTGTTTCAAGCCACCGACGCAACCAGCGATATCATCAGGATGCTCCGCCTCGACATCGCGTAACCGCGTTTGTCTCCGATCATCTGAGATTATTTTGAATCTCCGATGATCTACTGTTTACAATTTCCAATTCCCCGATCGTCTAATTTCCGGCTTAAAACCGGGAGATCTAAAAGCAAATCATCTCCAGACGACGAATCTAGAAGATGAAGAAACACATCTTCGTTATGAACCGGTTTCGAATCTTCCCTTATTTTTTCAAGGGGCAAGGTCGAAATATCTTCTTAACAGGTCTTAGTTTCTCTTCTTAGGGTTTAGTGTAGGAGTATTTGTGCATAGGTTTTTTACTTTTCCGTGACTTACATCTTTCAAGCTTCATTTCTGTTTTTAGTTGTCGGTATCTCTGGGTAAATTACAGGTTAGCTTTGTGTTTTTTTCTTCTCTTTGAGTCTTTTCTGTTGTTTTCGTATGGGTTCTTCGTATGTGTCTGGATAAATTATAGGTTAGCTTTGTGTTTTTTATTCTCTTGAGTCTCTTGTTTTCCTAAGGGTTCGTCGTATGTGTCCATGTTATGTATAAGAGAATGTTCGAACATTTATTTATGAAATGAATGTTACGATCGTTGAATTGCTTGTTCCAATTATAAAACCATGAAAAGAAAAGACGTCTGTGCGCATATAACTGAATTGATGCATATTGAATACAACCACAAAATTCGAGTAGGACACATTCGAATAAATTCAGTATTGTACACACTCACATTTGGATTTGCATTGAATAGTCACGAATCGCTGAAGCTATCTTTTATGCATTGACAATGATGGATTATATGTGAATCTTTCAATTTTGATTTGTTTGGATTGGAGCAAAGAGCTAGCGACAGTTGACTTGGTCATGACTAGCTTCAGCGATTGAAAGATTCACATATCAACAAAACTACTTTTGGACATTTTGACCAAACCATGGATTACGATAAACTATACTAAGCTCCTCACATGTTAGACCTGGGAAAAGAGTTTAATTATGATGATCCATTCTGAGGAATATTGCTAGGAGATTCTATTTATCTGTCTTCAACTGGATGAAACATTTGAGTTGCACAAAATTTATATTTCATAGTCACAAATTACTAAAGAGCTATCCCTCGTAGATTGATTCATGGTGACCCAACTAAATGTTGAAAAAGAAGTTTATTATACAGTAACTGCATCATGCATGTCGACAAAGAAGTTTATTATACAGTATGTTGACTTCTTCTCCGAGTTGATCTTGATTTTTTTAATTTTTGTCCACGATCTTGGTTAATCTCCATTATTGTTTTTGTTTGGTCGACCAAGATTAATCTCCATGATTGTGTATATAAATTACTATGGATTAAATAGCAATGGATGTCATTCTCAAGTTATATCAAATTTTCACAAATACCACTTGGTTGGTCCAAGTTTTAATATCTGCTCTCATAGTTGGCAGCCCATTTTGACCCGATAAGGCCCATCAGTTGCGCTGTAAAGCTTTGTTTAATCAAATTACTTGTTCTAATACGAAATGTTGCAAGTTTAGGGTTATTTCGGGATATTTAAGAGAGCCTGCTTTCAAATTCCTATAAAAGAAAAAAGTGTGTAAAACATTAATCCATCTGTAATTTAACAACTTGCCTTGTCTTTTACATTGGCATCAAGAAAATATAGATGGAGGTAACGGAGCTGGTTCACAGTAGTCATTTGTTCATTGGTTGAGCATGACGTGTTAAACGGTGAATCTATTTTATATACTCAGCAAAAAACCATTTAGCCACGTCAGCCTCCTTTTTAAGTTTGTGTGTCTCTTTTCCAACTAATAAAAATGTATAAATTCATTAATCCCAAATAATAACGAACATAATTGATGTTAATCTTAAAATAAAAAAATGTTGCCCTAATGAGCAAACATTGATTTTCTACCTAATATGAGAATGAAGCAAACCGAAGAAGACGAACCCTCAATTGTTATTTATTTTTTGCCAATTTTGATAATTAATAAAGAATTTTGATTGGGGAATCTTTACATATAATTTTACATACACTTTCCCACACAACTCATATTTCGGGTCCCACACTTTTATTTATTTACTTACTTTAAAAAATTAAATCTGCAAATCTGCCTATCCAGTATCCATCCAGCGACGGACCCGATCTTGCATTTTCGCATCGACATTAAAAGCGAAGGAAAAAAAAACCAATTAAAAAAAACAAGGAAAATGAAAAAGGAAAATAAAAAGAGAGGAATAATTAAGCGAGCCTCGTATATAACACCATCCATCTATCTTTTTCTCCTCTATTTCGATATTTCAACTTCCTCTGTCTCTCTCTCTCTTTCTTCGCCATTCTCTCTCTTCTGTAACTTCTCTTCTTTCTCTCTCTGCTTCTGTTTTGTATCTGAATCCCTTTTTCTACGGAAGCTGGAGATTTTGATTAGTGTAGCGTCGATGAAGAAAATTACATCGGCAGCGGCTAAGATAGCGGTCAAGGATGAGTGGGTGGCAGCGGCGATGACTGACGATGAGCTGGTGGTGGAGCTTCTTTTACGGCTGAAGCACGCGGGGACGGCAGTTGCAGAGAATCCGGCGGTAAATCTGCCTCCGTTACGGTGGGGAATCCGTCAACGACGGTCACGGTCCTCAAGATTTGGTGGCGGCGGTGTTCCCGTTTCGTTGAAGAAGGATGTGGATTCCGCTAGAGCCAGTCCGAAGACTCCTCTCTCCTGGAGCGGCGGATCTGGAAGCGGTGGCTGCTCTACATCTCCATCCGCCGCAACCGCCGATGGATTCGAGGACACTAGTCGCCAAGCTAGCTGCTCCACATCTACAGGATCTGGATCTAAGGTACCTTATATCTCTCTCTCTCTCTCTCAAAACCTATCGTGATTCAACTCACGCGTCTCGAATTTAGTCTTCTCTCCATCTCCCTTCTTCTCGATTGCGAATTCCGCAACCGTGGAGCGATGCAAATCCGTCGTCTCGCTGGCTTTTCCTTGCCGATCTGGCCGGTAATCCGGATTTTCCGTCCGTCGCGTTTTCGTAATCGAGAAATCCTTCTCGTCGCCGATTTTTATATTTTTTTTCCTCCACAATCCTCATAACTACCATTCTTCATACACGACTCTCAAGTTTTGGTAGACGTCATCTCTCTCAAACCTCAAGCTCTTAAAAGCCGACGTCCGATTCTCACGCATCTCTTTTTCTCCCTCACCGATCTCTGGTTAACCGATTTTTTTTTCACCAGTCAGTGTTTTAGTCCGTTTTTCTTCAAAAACTACTGAATCCTCCTCCGTGTGTCGGTGCTATGACCTCCCACGGCGTTTACTCCGGCGCTCTCCAAAAGTCAAAGCCTGTTTAACTTTTTATTTTTCCTCTTTTGTGTTTTCTATTTCGATATTGTTTTTGGTAATTTTCAACTCTGTCAATCTTCTATCGCAAGCTTAAGATGGTTTTTAAAAGAAAAAAAGATGTGGAGTTTGACGGTTAATCGATTCTCTCCGGTTAGAACCGAGGATTTAACCAGATCTCTTGCGTGGGGAGCGTCTGATAATTGGCCGGTTCAAGGGGATATTACGAACCGGTCAAATTTAATGTGTCTTGAGGAATAATAAAAGCTCCTTTTAGATTATGCGGGTACAGCTAGTTGGTCAAACGTGCGCGTTTACAGTACGTTTCTTAGGCACAAAACGCTATCGTTTTGGGTGAAAGGTGGGAGAAGCGAGTGAAATCTTGTCGGAGAGATTGGGATCACGTGATCTTAAAGAGAGTGATGACCCATTACACGGGATTTTCGTGATGTGGCACGGCATCCTGCTTCGTCCCTTCTATAATATTCTTTCCTATTGTATTTGTGTTTCAAAAAGGATAGTTTTTTATTTTATTTTTTTTCTCTCTTTGATTTTTTTGACTTTTGTTTGAAATTTCTATTGTGGGAAAAGAAACTTTACTATTATGTTAAATTAGATCTTGCGTTTGATTATTAAAAGTAATAGATCTAAAATACTTGTCGTTACTCGTCAGCATTTTATTCCATTGTTTAGTATTTTCAAACTGGCAGATTTGGCATCTTAAATTACTGCGTCAATACAATTTACTTGCTTGTTGATTGATGGTTGTCGTTGTTAATCAAATGCGTTTGTATATGTTTTTTTTCCAGATCTTTCCCACAAATGAATACACCAGCTCTTTTTCCAAGAGATTGAAGAAAAAGAAGGTATACAAACTCTCTTTCAATCTGCCTAATATGGAAATCCCAAAATGGAATCGAGATTCTTGGATTCCAAGAACATTCTTAACATCAGGATTTTTACGGAGCTGAGGTTTTGTTTAATATTATTTGACAGTCATCTTCTGAGCTTAAAGACGAAGAGATCTTGAGACTGAAGGAAAGACTTGCACTTGAAAAGGTAAATATTCTCTTTTCTAAGCTTTTTGTTTATCATGGTAAGACTCTTAACAAATCCGGTCTCTTCCGCAGGAGATTGAAAGTCTCCGAGCAACGTTTGATCAACAAAACGTACGTAACCAGAGATTAAAGAGGATTAAGGTAACTTTTGATTCTCTCAACCATTTTGACAGTCTTCCGGATTCTCTCTCTCTTTTGGGTGATTTTAATTGAATCACTATCTACTCTTCTGTTCTCTTTGTTTCAGCTTGACTTGAACTCAGGACGTGTCAAGAACGAGACTCAGGTTGATCTGATTCATAAATCACAACCCGAATCAAAATCTTGCAGAGTAGAGGGCAAAACCTCTAGCTCGAAAAACCAGGAGAGCATCTTCTTCCTTCCTGATTTGAACATGGTACCATCCGAGGACGAGATATTGTACGGAACTAGCTAAGTCGCCTACCTGAAGATTTTAGATCTCGATCTGATAACAATCAAGAAGGGAGTCAGAGATTTTAACAAAGAAAGGTGAATGTAATAAGATGTTTAATGTCTCCCATCGTTCTCGTTCTCTGTTTCCTTCCTTTTTGGGGTAAAACTCTCATTACTTCTTGGTTTTTTAGAAGTAGGTGGATATTAATTTTTTTTCTTTTTACTCTCTTTTGTACCGATTCGTTGTAGTTAAAGCTTTGTTAGAAATTGTTAGAGGAAACATTAGGGCAACTAATAGACTTTTATGTTCAAACTTTTCCTTTTTATTTATTCTCTATATATTATTTTATTTAAAACCCTAGTTTCCGCTCAACTAACCCAAGACAAGAGAGATCTATTCATCTAACGAGCCATGATTATTGTTAGTACTATTTAATTTAAACTTATTAATGTAAATGCTATTGGTGGATCGTTGGCGTGTTCATGGATAAAGAAGAAGAAAAAAATGCCAACTTGTGATCACCTAATTTAGTAATTTGTCTCAGTGTTTTAGTCTTTTTTTAATGGATCAAATTTGTTATTATTTTCTTGGCAGTTCTCTAAATTAATTTTCCTTCTTTATTGCAAAAAATATTGTCCTTCAAATATCTCTGATTGGATATGATGATAATTAGACTTGTCCTATCCTTTTTCAAATTAGATGTTTTATGACGTGTACATTTAAAATTAATTTGACATAACAAAAAATTATTGGTTATATGTGACTATGTGGCATATGGGTAAAACAAAAAATAAAACAAAAATCTATACAAAAAATGATATTAAAAATACTATTTCATTTGTGTTTTTAAACAAAATATCCAAAAGAGAAACAACTGAGAAAGATATACAAAAAATTATTTGCAGTTGACAACAAAAAAAAAAAGGAATACGGGTTCAATAAGATTCATGGTTAATAAGAAACACTTGGTCTTGAGGAATAACTAGGGGAAAGAGAAAGTCTCCGACCACCAAAGCGGACGAAAACAATGTCGTTTAACAGCTCCCACCTCCTTCCTCCGCAAGAAGACCTTCCTCTCCGACACTTCTCCGATCAATCACAGCATCCGCCGCAGCGTCACTTTTCCGAAACACCGTCGCTTCTCACCGCAAGTTTCCTCAACCTCCCTTCCACCGCAGCCACGACGGCGGAATCCAATTTTGCGCCTCCGCTTCGCAACGGAGACAGCTCAGCTGCTGATACAACAAGACGGTGGCTCTACTTCCAAACGGAGATCCAAAACACCGGAGAAGGCCGTCCAGAAGTCACCGACGGAGTCAACGCCGATGGTGAAACGATACACGGCGTTGTCGGTGGTGATGGAGGTGAAGATTGGAGGAGCGCTAGCTACAAAGCTGCGATTTTGAGACATCCGATGTACGAGCAGCTTCTGGCGGCTCACGTGGCTTGCCTTAGGGTTGCGACTCCCGTTGACCAGATTCCGAGGATCGATGCGCAGCTCAGTCAGTTGCACACCGTCGCCGCAAAGTACTCCACTCTTGGTGTGGTTGAGGACAACAAGGAACTTGATCATTTCATGGTAAGTTTGGAAATTCCAATTTTCAATTTTTACTGAATTTCAATTTTTCCATTTGCGATTCGTTCTCGTTGCTGGTAGTGTTCTATGGAGACTGTCTTCTTTCATTGTTTTTTTGTTTTCTTGGGAATTTCCTGGTTTTTATATTGTGTTCTCTTCTCTTTCATAGGGTTCATGCAAAATATTGATTTCGGTTTAGTGGGAAATGCACCTTTTTTTTTGTAGTTCATTGTTCCTGCTTCTTGAGTCTTGAAATCGATATGATATTTTGTCCTCCTTTTTGGCTTTCGAAAAATGATATTCGAAAAATGAACTCTTTTTGACTCTTGTTGAATAAAGCTTCTTTCTTGGTAGCTAGTAGTTTGTCTGCTTCTTACTTACTAAACAGAACATTGTATGCATAATCTGTTTTGTAAGGTTCTGTTTTGTATGTCTTATGGGTTAGAATCTTACCTTCTTTTATGATGATGCAGTCACATTACGTTGTGCTGTTATGTTCATTTAAAGAACAACTCCAACACCACGTTTGTGTCCATGCAATGGAAGCAATTACGGCTTGTTGGGAAATCGAGCAATCACTGCAATCCATAACGGGTAAATGTCTCAACCACAAATTTTAATTCTTGTCTTCTCGCTTTAGGAGCGTCTCGATTGTCTTTCTTTCAATTTTGTATTGTGTGTGGTTGTAGGAGTTTCGCCAAGTGAAAATAATGGCAAGACGATGTCGGATGATGAAGATGGTAATCAAGTAGAGAGCGAGGTGAACATGTTTGATGGAAGTTTGGACGGCTCAGATTGCTTGATGGGATTCGGTCCTCTTGTTCCAACCGAGCGCGAGAGATCCTTGATGGAACGTGTGAAGAAGGAACTTAAGCATGAGCTTAAACAGGTAGTTGCTTAATTCAAGTTTCGATGCTACATCAAACTAAACTAAATACATTGCGTGATCATGTTGCTCGGTTTTTCTCCTAAAGGGTTTCAAAGAGAAGATTGAGGACATAAGAGAAGAGATAATGAGGAAGAGAAGGGCGGGAAAGTTGCCAGGAGATACAACTTCTGTACTCAAAGAGTGGTGGAGAACTCACTCCAAATGGCCATACCCAACTGTAAAAACCTCTGCCAAGAAGTTTGTTTAGACATTCTCAAAGACGGTTTTTGATTTCTGACTGGGTTTTGAATTGTAGGAAGAAGATAAGGCAAAACTGGTTCAAGAAACCGGTTTGCAGTTGAAACAGATCAACAATTGGTTCATCAACCAGAGGAAAAGAAACTGGAACAACAACTCTTCCACATCATCTACACTCTCCAAGAGCAAACGCAAACGGTAAAACAAGATTTGTGTTTCGTCATAATATACTCTTTTGTCTTTTGCCTCCAAGAACATATATATGTATGTGCAATTTCATCAGTAACCGGTCAATATATTGTATCTTAACCAATCTCAGGACTGGGAAGTAGTAGGTGACATTCCTGTTGAACAGAGGAAGATGCTTTGCCACGTGAATTCAAGGGAACCGAATGGAAGACACGCTTTCTCCTCCGGTTATATGATCGTAAAGATTGCAATATGTATAGGTGTAACCGGTTTGCCTACAAAACCGGATTCTGGAGCTGTATTCTTGTTTGTATCAAAATCAGTGTTGATATATGTGTATATATACAGTAGTTATTGGAAGTTATCTCTTTCGTTGGTTTGCGTCTTGTAAAGAACGCTTTATCGGTATTCTGAAACAAAAACGTAATTTTTTTTGGGTATAAATTTGCTTCAGCTTTAGCTGTGTATCAGTGTAAGACGCCGTTTGGTTCCGACGACAGCGTTTACGAAAGAATCGCCAACAGCAAAAACGACGACGTTTATTCTAGTAGTGTTGTTTAGGGAATGAATATAACATGTCGTTTTCAGAAATTCAAAGGTTCAAAAACGAGAAATTAGAAAAATTGGATTTGGGGGAAATAGTTGATTGTCTCGTCCAGCGTCTTCTTCTCGTTTTCTGGAAATCCCGTCGCCATTGATTCTCACTTTGCAAGGTCGGATAAACCCTTAACTCTAGATGTTTAGATACGCTCTTCTCTTCCTCTTTCTCTTGTTTGCTTTCTGCGGTTTTAAACACTAAAAGAGTAAGTAAAGAGTAAATAATAGAGAGAGTAAACAGCTTTGTTTAATTTTTGCATTCTCTCGACTTCTTCTCGTTATGTTACTCACTGTGTGCTTGTTTCAGCTCGGTGATTATGGCGGAACCACAAGAGGAACGATCTCCGTCGCTTGACGATTGCCTTAAGCTGTTGAAAGGGGAGAGGGACGAGCAGAGGCTCGCCGGTCTACTTCTCGTTACCAAGTTCTGCCCGAACGATGACCTCGTTTCCCTCAAGAAGGTGTACGAAGCCGTCGGTACCCACTTTCTCGACCGTCTTCTCCGGACCGGTAAACAAAATCCCGACTTATTGGTCTTTGTCTACTTTCCCTCAGTATATAGCAAATTTGTACATATACGAGTTTGGGGTTTCCTAGCGAAAGTTCTCCTTAGGTAGATTCGATTCTAAGGCTTGTTGCTCTCTGGTGTTGGGTTTTGATTGGTTTCGAGATTTTGCAGGTAGTGGCGATGGAGGTGAAAACCGTGATGTGTATCTGCAGCTATCTCTTACCGTTCTTGCTGCATTCTGCCGTGTTCCGGAGATAGCTTCTTCTGTAGAGATGGTCTCCCGAATTCCCCTTATTCTCGAAATAATGTCGAAAGGGTATGTTAGATCGCCTGATTCTTCAATCTGTGATTTTCCATCAAGTTTTCTCAAGTTTTGCTTCTGCGTCTTTTGCTTTTGCACAGTTTGTCTTCTTAAATTTGGGAAATTGGCTTTTGGAATTTCAGACCAGCTACAAACATTCTCGAAGAATGCTATGAGCTTCTGTATTTGGTGTCCACGGCTTGTGAAGCTGGTGTTATGGCTTTGATAAACTCTGGAGGCTTGAGAGTGATAGCCCCCCAGATGTCTGGTCTGCCTGATGGTAATAACTCATTCCTTTGTTTTACATTTACTTTATTTTGATTATAATCGATGTCAAAGAAAATATGCCATATTCTAAGGGTAGATGGATTTGAGAATAACTTTTCCCTGAGAGCTGATGCAAGATATGTTATTCAGGTTCACATGCTATGGAGGTAGCTATAAAGATTCTGCAGTTGTTGGTTAGTAAGCTTCCCAGCGAGAGCATGAATATTGAACGCTTCTTAGAACTGTCTTTGGTGGTGAGTCCACTTACTTCATCATTGTCACTTTTGTTTTTGCAATAATTACTAAATCCCCGTGCTCAAGTTGGAGCCCAAAACATAATGTTATTGGTTATTCAGGTTGCTGCTGTTGCCCGGCAGTTTGCGATGCTGCATAATGCCCTGAAGTTTGAAGCACTCCATCTACTCTCTGCAGTCTTCTGTTCCGAGTATTCTGTAAGTTTTTATTTCCTTAATCTTCTGTGCAAAGTTAGCTTTAACTGAGCGGAGTTATGTTTTTAACAATAGTTACTAGCATGGTAATGCCTATTTTTGAGATTTTCTTTTTTCATTAAAATTGGGAAAATCAAAGTGTTACATTCTTCTGCTTGGATGATACAGTTGTCACCCTGATAACTGGGGCTTCATTGTCTTGATGCTCTTTCGTATTCATGTCATGTTTCCATTGTAGAAGCTCTACGTTTTCTTATCTTTCTTTTCTTTTTGGGTGTGTGCGAATCTGTTTATATGTTTCTCACAGAACTTCTTATATGTAGGCACTTCTTCATGATCCTCTTCGTTCCATGCAAGACAGCAATTGGGCAGACTATATGCGCACAGGTGTTGTGTCCATTCTGCAGAATCGTGTAGGTGAGTTAATAAGTGATCTATTAACAGTTTGATTGGGTCACTGAAAAATGCATTCCCATTCATGGCAGTCTTTTCTTGTCAGCCCGTAACTTTTTCCTATTTGTTTAATGACAAATATCCTCTCCTGTTTTTATATACGAAATAATGGTATTAATGATCTCTGTACTTTGCAAAAAGTATAGACTGTTAAATGATGCCATCATTGCTATAAAAATTTTCACTTTTTCGGGCAGATGTCACTGATATGCTTGCTCACATCCTCTATGCTATTGAAACTTTCAAGATACCTAAGAAACCTGTCTTTTTTGAATGTGTAGCACCTTCCGAAAAGCTTCATGCATTGATTCTGGCTGAGAACATGATGTCAATTCTGGGTGAGAAGTGGCTTATCGGTCGAGTAAAATTACCCAGTGTTGAGGATTATCTTCCAGCTGATAGGTAAGCAAAGGATATTCTTATTACACACTTACTTAACCTACATCTTGTAGCCAGATAATTGTCATGCTGATTTCTTTTTGTAGGTGTCTTCTGCTGGTACTAGAGTCATCACATGTTGAAATTTCCGTTTTGTCAAATGAACTCGCTTACATGAAATATGAAGCTCCTAAGAATAGCTCAACTGTTGAAGACAATCTGTTGAAGCAACGTTATCTGGCTATCGCGTTTTCTTTGATAGAAAAGATCATCAAATATATATCAACTGTTGGTGAAAATGAAGGTACAACATATAATCTTGTCTAATAAATGCAACTTTCTGTTATTTTATTTTATTACAAAGACACTATTTTCTGAACCTCCTTAGATGTCATTTGTGAAATATCTAATAAATGCTCTGCTAATAATAGTGAGAAAATGTGTCGTTTGGCATAATATGAAAGTTTGGAAAAATTTATCATATTGAGCTTTGCAGGGAATCTAAGTGATGAAGCCGTTTTCCTAAAGGTGATTAAGACACTTAACGAGATAGTTGGAGTGGTGCTCGAGTATCTGAAAGATGCAAAGGTGTATATCTGACAACATAAAACTTCTTTACTGTGTCGTTTTGTGTTCAAACTGTTTTCATGGTATTTCTGTTTCATACAGGAACATGGAGAGAAGAGAGGAAATGATCTTCTTGCATCTGTGCGAGTGATTGGGAGGTATAGATAATGACTCGTCCTTCTAAGAAACTATCGTTCTTTTTGTTTCTTAATAAATCTCTCTTCTATTTTTTTGTTTGTGTTGAATATTTACATACCAGATTGACGAATTTTCTGCGTATATAATCATGGTTTGCTGCTTCATTATAATTTGTAAATGAGTACTCCTATTGGAAGAACATGGATCGTCTCCTTTTCACTTTGGCATTTACTGAACTTTTTTGTTTGTTTCTTTTGTTTTTAACAGCTATCTTGCTGAAACTCCTGATGCATGCAAAGAGCAGGTGCAAGATCTTCTAGATTATATGCTTTCAGTGGAGGGCGAAGATGAGTCCTGGTTCGAAATCATACTGCCCTTAAGTTTTTACCCTTTTACGAAGCTATTTACGTAATGACCCCCAGGATAACTTGGTCTGAATAATTTTCTTTGGACAGCCCGTTTTTGTCCACTTGCTTCTTGCTCCCAATGCTTTGCCAAATAACAATGAAGGCAGAAGGATGTAAACTCTTGGCTGCTTCAACAGGCTATGTAGCTGTGAGTTACTACGGTTTATACCTTCCTTACACCGATGGTGGTTGACACTTATCATTGTGCTAGAAAAATCTGCTTTACATCTCTTCCATCATTTTTGCAGTGAGCTTGACCTAAATATGTTTCAAGTTACGGTTCTCTAATATTTTAATACAGGTCGTGGAATGTCTAATAAAGCTGATTCAGCGTGATGGTCAGAGTGTTGAGGACAATGGAAGCATATTCTTGGCTTGTGATACAGTCATGAATATTCTTTTGAAGGTACCCTCTTTTTCTCTAAGATAAGACGTGGTTACATTTTGCCAAATCCCTTAATTATCAAATGATAATGACACATGTACATTTTGGAAACAGAGGGAACAAATCAGATTTTCGCCAGAAATGTCTACATTTTCCAGACTTTTGAAAGCCTTGGCGTTTTGGGCAGGTGATGTAATCTCAGATCAAAAGCTTCATGTTTCTTCTTTTGTTTCAGAAGATATGAGTGCTTCCAAATATTTCAAACCTGTCAATATCTTTTTTCCTTTTGTTACAGATGGTACGAATGACCCATCAGTAGTTAGGATGGCTGGAAGCATCTGCTCATTGATCTTTGATTTCACATCAGAAGATGCTCTACTCAAGCAACCTAACTTCAACGGTAGCTCCTTGGATAGTTTGGCTCGGCTCATTGCAAGAAGTTTGTCATCATCGGGCCAGGTATAATCCTGCAACTTTGTATGATGCGTCTTGTGCTCAATTTCTTCAGCTCTTGGTTCAAATTTTCATTTTCTTGGTAGAGAATTGCTTCTTAGATGACTGCCACATAACCGATATCATTGCAGGATTTGCCGGATGACGCGGATCTCTTTGAAATCATAACAGCTGGTTCGGTTTCAACATCTCTCTCTTCATTTCAAATCACTTTACATTGTTCCAGACAGCTTCTGTATTTTCTAAATCGATAAAAACATAAGTCTTTTGGTATCCTCTAATTGTGTTGCATGATTCTGAAACAGGATACTCTCGATGGGCAAATCGATTCCCCACCATAACGAAACATAACCTTTGAACAATTACTCAAAGTAATCTTGATCCAGAGTTTGTATCCTATTTTTCTTTTGGGATCAGTTTTACGTCTTATTATATACGATGTAGATTATAAATCAGGTTTCGTCTGACAAAGCACATGATTATAAAAATCTCTCTCTATTTAAGATTCCATTCCCAATTGGATATTAGTAGTAGCCAGATTCACTATTTTCACTAATAATATCACAAAATCATTTTCAAGACCTGAATTTTTTTTATACACAAAACCTTACAGCTTTTTCTAGTTTTTATTTATGGTTAGCCTAAAATTTGACTTGTTAATATAAAGGCAATCTAATTATTTTTTTTTTTTGGTCAAGGCAATCTAAAATTTATCGATCCGAATTTAGAGGATTCGTAATCTATTATACGGCGTCGGTTTTTTTATACATACCAGACCCAAACTGAAACAAACGCGTCTTCGGTTCCTTTTAAATAGCCTTTATGGAAGGTTAGTTTGCAAAATCCGTTTCGCGGAATCTGCAAAAAAAAAAAGATCATTATGCCCGCCTTATCTCACTACAAAGCACTATCATCATCTCTACCGTCCGTTGACCGGTCCCTCCCTCTCATCCAACGACTCAGGAGGATCCACGGAATCTCATCTTCCTTCCCGGAACCTTCTCCCTCCTCGACTGTTCTTCCCGGCGTTAATCGGACCGTCCCTGGCGGCTCTCTCGCTAAATGGATCTCCGGGATAACAGCTGGCTCCGGCTTAGGGTTTCTGTATTGGTGCTCCGATTCTGACTCGACTTCTGGTTTGTTCGGTGGAATTAATTTATTGTCATTCGCTGATTGTTCATCGCCCTCTGTATGTGACGCAGAAGTTGGCGATCTGAAACCGAGATCGTTTATCCCGAAATTGGCATTGCCTGGTTACAGCTCCGGATTCATCTTCGGAGGTCGGCGATCACTTGTTTCTTCTATTTCAGTGAATGAATTCGGCGACGTCTTTCTCTTGATTCGATTTCTTAATTTTTTTTTGATAAACAGATGCGTATAGGAGGAAGATTTTCTTCAATTACGAGAAGCGTTTGAGATTACAAAGTCCTCCTGAAAAGGTGCATTTGAGAATTAACGATTCTGTTTTTTCTTAAGCTTTCTATTTCCAGGATTAGGTATAGAAACAAACATGGTTTGACTCGTTATTTTTTTTGGATTATCGTAGCAATTGACTGATCGTCGATTATCTAAACAAGATTTTTATTTCTTTTACCAAGATTTGGTGAAATCGTATAGATCATCTTTTGGATGATGCTAAAGTAACATAGCATTTTCCAGTAATTGATTTGGTTTATTCTGAATGGTATTTAGGTTTTCGAGTATTTTGCATCTGTACGAACAGCAAAAGGAGAATTACTGATGAAACCGGCAGATTTGATGAGAGCAATTGTGCCGGTGTTTCCTCCATCAGAATCTCATCTAGTAAGAGAAGGATATCTGACCGGGGAGAGAAATCCCGGTGAACTTAGATGCTCTCCTTCCGAGTTCTTCATGCTGTTTGACGTCGATAACGATGGCCTTATATCCTTCAAAGAGTGAGTTTCTGAACCAAATCATTACTTACTCTAGTAATTCACATTGTCTTTCCTTCTTTGGGTATTGAAATGATTTTTTTTTTTGTGGGGGAACAGGTATATATTCTTTGTGACATTACTCAGCATCCCTGAATCAAGCTTCGCCGTGGCTTTCAAAATGTTTGATACAGACAACAACGGGTGAGTAGTCGTTGAAATTTGTAATTAGATCAATCCTGCTTTTGGTAACTATCATTTTTTCTGGTCCGTTATTCCCATATTGCGATCGTGGGAATCAGTGGAGTCTCTTTTGAGTTTACGCTGAGTCATGTAACATCTGGTCAGTGCTTCTATCCACTGTAGCTTATATTTCTTTGAGCTGGTTCTGATCAAATACTGTTTAATGTCGGTTATTTTAGGGAGATTGACAAGGAAGAGTTTAAGACAGTCATGAGTCTGATGCGATCTCAGCATAGGCAAGGAATTGTCCACAGAGATGGCCTTCGAACAGGTTTACATATGACAGGCTCTGTCGCGGATGGAGGGTTGGTAGAATACTTCTTTGGAAAAGATGGCAGTGAAAAACTTAAGCACGATAAATTCATTCAGTTTATGAAAGATCTAACTGAAGAAGTAAGAACTCTTAACCTTTCAATTCCATCTATGTATTCTTGAGCTCAAGAACTTCCTTAGCATCCGGTCTTTCCCACTTGGATTTATAAGAAAGCCTTGTAGACAAGGCTTTTTTTGAGATATATGCAGGCTTAAGATAGTAGACTCTAGTTCCTGAATCAGGTTCTTTGTTTGCTGTAAAAAAACCGAGATTAACAGTTATGTGTTTTTGAAAGAGAATTACTTATCTGTATGTAGATGCTGAGGCTGGAGTTTGCACATTACGACTATAAACGAAGAGGAACTATATCAGCCAAAGATTTTGCATTGTCGATGGTGGCTGCGGCTGATGCAAGCCACTTGAGCAAGCTGCTTGATCGAGTGGAGGATCTGAGCGAACACCCGCATCTCCGGGACATCCGTATCTCGTTAGAGGAATTCAAACAGTTTGATGAGCTACGCAATAAACTTGGGCCGTTTTCTCTGGCACTTTTTGCTTATGGCCAAGCTAATGGTTTACTTACAATGACAGATTTCAAACGAGCCGCCTCTCAGGTGACTCCTCAATTCTACTCTCTATATACATTTTAGTTAGTGCCAGCAGATCTTCTTTATTGAACTTGTGCAACAAATTGAACAGGTATGTGGAATATCATTGTCAGACAATGTGATAGAGATTGCGTTCCATGTGTTTGATTCGAATCGAGATGGGACTTTGAGTGTGGAAGAGTTTTTGCGGGTTCTGCATAGAAGAGAGCGAGACATGTCACAGCCAATTGCAAAGGGACTGTGTCAGTATTTTTCAGATAGATGGAACGGTTCGAAGAACTGCTCCTCGCGGTAAAAACAAAGTAACTCCGTAAAGAAGAGACCATTCTCTGTGGGGCTTACTGATGAACTCGAGGGAATTTTTTTTGTGCTCTTGGGTTCATACGAGTGAGCCCAGAGCTTGACTACTCCACGGTTGCATTGTAAGAAAGAAATCTGAATAAATCTTTGTACAGTTGATGGACCTATGAACTTTTTTTTTGTCATCTATCTAATAATATAAATTGTAATTTATATTACAAACCATAGTCTCTGACGTAAAAGTTTAGTAGCAAGTTTGTGTGGTATGTACAATATTTCCTCTTCGTAGAGAAATTAGACCGAGACAAAATATTGGGGACTGAGCGAAACATAATAAACAATTCTGAAGATTATTGATTCTACAAGCAGTGCAGACATTCACACAACAATCACTAATTAAATTGAAACAATAAATCAGAAGATTACAGACCAATTGGCATACAAACAAAACAGAACAAAGACAAACAATGAAATAACCAATAATTTGTATCTATCTGAAGAGAAGAGAGAGTTAGCCATCTAACCTTCTTCTCTGGACTGAATCCCAGTCCCAATCAGTCTCAACCACCACATGAATACCGCAGAGGCTAAGAGTATATCCCATGGAAATTGATCTCCAACAAAAAAATATTGCTTTGGAAAGATGAGAAAAACCAAACCAAAAGGGAGGAGAGAAAAAATGAACTCCACTCCCAAACAAACAAAGTGCCTGCAATAGTAATACATTGTTGAACAGATCAAAAGATAAGCTTTCCATCAAACAATTTAACCAGGAAAAAAAACTAACAAATATATCCCTAATTCATGCTCCACAACAAGAATTTTTTGTCGATAGCATTTAATCCGTGACAAACTAACCACCTAAGATCATTATAGAAAGAGTGCCATATTTCAGGAATATGTCAAATGGATATGAGTTACTACTTACCTAGCGATATATATGAGAAGAATATTTCATTATCCAGACCCTGAAAATACGTTCTCTAAGATATCATGCAGCTTTGGGGCTCGTCTCCGGAACATTGGTTCTAGCCGGAAAGATGGGACACCAATCTGCCATCTCTTGGCATCATACATCTCATTCCATGCCTGTACTATCTCATCAATCTTGAACCCCATACCTGCGGTTATTACAAGTCTGTTATTACACACCCAATATCTGCGCGGCAAAAAGAAAGATAACACAAAACCACTGGATTGTGAGTACTCCAGAGTTTGGTATTCTTGCCACGAATTGATTACCTTCAAGTGCACTCTCGCTTGAACAATGATTCTTTACCATCACAGCTATATCAGTTGCAGAAGCTCCAGCTAGTTCAAATTTCTCAACTGCAACCTCTAAACATTCATCCCAGGTTGGCAGCCCGAGCTTATACTCCACAATAGACCGTTCATATAGCAACGAACCCCACAAGAGATTAATCTGGGAGCTCATATTAGATGCCTGCTCCACAGTTTCTTCATCTGAAGATTCGCTAAACAATCCATCCAACTCCATCTTACGCAACAGTGTTTTCTGTTTATCGAACTTTGAGATTCCGTTAAGACGACGTTCTTCCATCTCTTCCCAAATCTGCATACCCCTCTCCATGCTTTCCTCAGCTTTGTTATAGAGCTTAAGGACATCCTGGGAAACCTCACTTTCTAGGTCTACCTTGCTTTTGAGTGCATGATACCAACAAAGCTTTGCCTGTTCGAACTGTTCTTGCCCAAGTGCAAGAAGAGCTTCGTAAAAATCAGGTTTGACTTTAATCGCTGCTTCATATTTCTCTGCAGCTTTGTTGTACTCATCCCGTGTCCACACAAATGCAGCCTCAACCGCTTCTATTATAGCTTCTCTTGAGGCATCTTCAGGAAAACAGACTTGCTTCCTTGCCTTAGACATGTGAACATTACCCCAGTTAAACATAGCTAGTGCAGCCATTTCTTGGAACTTATCAGCTGCGATTTCAAAGAGCTCTTGCGCATCTTCGCCAGTTACAGCATCCTCCATTGCTTCTGAATAGAGCTTCATCCCAAGGTCATGAAGGTCCAAGTACGAATCAGAATCAAACCCGACATGATTCTTAAACAGCTGTGCAAACTGGAAAATCCAGTTCTCAAAGCAGGTAGATGCTTTGTTCGATTCCACATACTCTCCAACACTTCCATTATCGGCAACACTGCTCAATCTTTTGATAACCTTCTCAGTTGTTTCAGCATCGTTCATGCCATCATAGGTTGGTTCTTGGTCAGGGCTAACTTCTGCTATATATAATCTGAGGGAGGCAAGTTTATCACGATTAGAAGCAGCCAGCCTCAGCTCATCTGTCGTGGTAAGGGTAACCAAATCACCCTCTGGATCCTTGTACTTAATGAGGAAACCCCTTAGGGCAGGAAAGCGATCCCTGATTACGTCTCTTAAAAGTCTAACACTAGAATCCAGCGGCAATTGTGCCCACCTTATATCATCTCCATGTACCAATTTAACCGTCCTAGCAACTGTTGCCTCTTCTTTTGAGCTTCCTCCTCCTTCAACAATCTCAGAGGCAATGACCTCTTTGTCCATGACAACAACCTTATCCTCCAGCTTCCTCTCTCTTCCTGCCTTATTACCACTCTTCTTTTTCTGTCCTTTATCATTCTTGAAACTGGCTTTCTTTCCATCAATCTCAGACTTATCGCTCTTTGCCTCCTTCGGCTTATTTCCGCTTTCTGCTTTGTCTCCCTTTTCAACCTTTGGACTCTCAACCAAGGCTCTGTTGCTCTTCACTTCCTCGTCTTTTCCACCATTATTCATCTTCTTCTTATTCTTCCTCAACCTCTCCTTGACAATCTTCTTCAAACGAGCAGCGCCAACAGGCTGCACATTCACAAAGTTCTTCTCCATCTCATCCACATCAACACCTTTATCAACCAGAATCTTCTTCACCCTATCAAAGATTTCATTTGCAGAAACATTTTCTGGCTCCATGTTCAAAACAATACGAGCATCCCTGAAGGCGAAATCTAACTTGTTCAAGGCCTCGTAACAGCGAGAACGTCTAAGCAGAGCCTTACTGTACCTAGGAGAAGCCTCGAGGGCCAGATTACATTCGTTAATCGCGTTCGGGTACTCACCTAATCCCATTTGCATATAGCAAGAGGCCATGCTGGTTCTCAGGTAAGCTACATCGATATGATCCTTGGGCAAGAGCTTCACGGCTTTGTCGTACCTCAACATCGCTCCTTCGTTGTCGCGTTTCTGGAACAGCTTGTTCCCTTCTTCTTTGAGCTCAAGTGCTCGGCTAATGAAAATCTCCATGTCCTCGTCGAAAGCTCTCGAGGCAGAGCGATGGTAGCTTTTCCCAGACTTACCATCCTTTGGCGTCTCCGGGTTTTTCTTCTTCGCCGTCGGCTTCCCCATTGGAGGTGAGGCTATTTTCCGGGGAAAAATTCAAGAAATGCTTAAAATCGAAGCTCAACGATGAAGCTAAGCAGAGGAATCAAACAGAGAATTCGAAAGTTTTTAAAGCAAAAGCTACTATTGACCGATCGTGGGAAGGAGCAGCAGCGTTGCGTTTATGTACCCAAAAATGATTTGCTGAAATTTCCAGGAAACACGACACGACTCTGTCTCTCTCTTCTGTGGAGGTGGAGTGAACCCTAATCCACCAATAAAATAGTGTTCACGAAATTAATATAAAAACACATTGTTTGTTCTTATTAACAACGATAATGGGATTGGGACAGGCAAAAAGTCTTCGTTTTGTTTTGCTGGAAAGATGGCAAATCTTCCAACTTTAATCAATTAAAAGAGTGTTCAATTAATTAATGGGACTTGGCTTGCTAATTAATTTGTAGTTATTTTCCTTTATATAGCTAAATACGAAATGAAAATTCAAACTAAAAAAAAAATGATTTGCTTATCGAGAAAGAGAATTACTACTAAATTTTCATTCCGTGCATACGTAGAGATGTTTTATCTTTTTACTAATTATATTTTATAATATAGTTTATATATTTTTATAGATATATATTTTTTTAAATAATAGAAATTTTTATTTAATTTTATATTTATATATATTTAGTTTTTAGATTTAATTTTTAGTATTAATATGATCATAATTATAAAAATATTACATTTATAAAAAATGAGTGACAAAAATAAATCAATAAAGACAAAATAAATCAACAAAGATCAAAAATAATTCATCAAATACAAAATAAATTAACAAACATAAAATAAATTAATGAAGATCAAAAATAACTCAACAAAGATAACATAAATCAATATAGACAAAATAGATCAACGAACGAAGAATAAAAATAATTCAACAGAAACAAAATAAAAAATAATAATAATAATAGTTAATTCCATCCAACATTATTTTTGTATTTCACTACGTACATTTCACCGTGGAAATAATAATATTATCAGATGACCAAAAAAAAAGTAATAGAAAAGAAAAGCAAAAAAAATTAAGAAAAGAAAAGTAAACAGCAAAAAGGGTTTTAAGTCTTCTTCTTCTTCTCCTAACCGTATCGGGCGTTCGCTGAGGTTTATCGACTGAGTCCCCTCTTGTCCGACGCACTTCATCAGGTAAAACCTGATTTCAACTTCTCTTATTTCTCTGGTTTATTCGAATTCAGCTGTTTGATCCTCCAATTCCATGGATTCATGTATTCATTAAAAAAAATATCGGATTTACTTCCCCACTCACTTCTTTTGATTCTGTTGGTGAAAGAAGCAATCCTTGGATATAGTTCATTAAAGGCAGAAGCTTTTAGTGTATAGCTCACATATTTCTCAATAGTGACCACTGTGATTAGTTCATGTTTTAAGGTTAGCTTTCTCTGTTTTCGGAGAAGCAGTAGAGTAGCAGAGATGTTGTACATTATAGGGTTAGGTTTAGGAGATGAAAGGGACATAACCCTGAGATGATTATACACAATGTTGTGTCTGATTTCGCTCAGTTTGCTGATATAATTGTAGCCTTTGTTACGTCTTTACTTGTTTCATTAGAGAATAGAAACAAACTGCTCTCTTTTGGTCGCATTGATTAAATCTAGTTTAGCATTTTCTCTGTCGAATTATCTTTATACCAAATAATTGAGAAATACATCTCTGTATATTGTGTTCCCGTTACATTTGAATTTTTTTAGTGTAGGAGTAGAGAAAAAAATGCAAGCTTGTTGTGGAGGTACTTCAATGGGGTCTATTCAGCAACCTGGACGGGTTCAAGGACCTGTCTTTGCCCCAGTTATGTCTCCGGTGACCAAATTTTCTCAGCAACTGAAGTTCAATTTTCCAAGACCTTGCCGTTCTTCTTTTGCTGAAAGAAGCTTGAGAGCGGCTTCAATGTCGGCACTTAATGCCGAGATGAGCAGTAAGAGAACTTTGTTTTCATTTATGATAATATATGATGGAAACGATTATCTATCTATTCTATGCGTTGTTTTGATTTTTGTTTTTTTCCGTTTAACTGTGACTGATATTTATAGGCAAAGAAATCCTTTTTGAGGACTATGGTCTTAATGAAGTTGATCCAGAAGTCCAAAAGATTGTCACAAAAGAGAAAGATAGACAATTCAGGAGCTTGGAGCTCATTGCATCCGAGAATTTCACGTCCCGAGCAGTTATGGAGGCTGTTGGATCATGCCTTACCAACAAGTATTCCGAAGGACTGCCTGGTAAAAGGTAATGAAGTATGTTAGAATGGTCTTTTGTTCTTTTTGTTAATCATCTGCTAGATTTTATAGTCAGTCTCTGCTCCATGTCTCACAGGTATTATGGTGGCAATGAGTACATCGACCAGTTGGAGACACTTTGCCAGAAGCGAGCTTTAGCAGCCTTCCGCTTAGATTCTACGAAATGGGGGGTTAATGTTCAGCCCTTATCTGGTTCACCTGCAAACTTTGCTGTGTACACCGCCATACTTAGCCCTCATGATCGAATCATGGTTAAGATCTTTTGCTCTCTTCACCTCATCGTTTCTTTTGTGTCTGAGATATTGAATATTCGTGGCTTGTATTGAGTATTTAGGGTTTGGATTTACCTCATGGTGGTCATCTGTCACATGGGTTCATGACTCCCAAAAGGCGTGTATCTGGAACTTCAATATACTTTGAGTCCATGCCTTATCGACTTGATGAATCAACAGGTGGTGCATTTCTTGTGATATGGTCTCTGCCACTATTTTTTGTATGAGGCTATTTCCTGATATCTGAATATATGAGCAGGGATTGTGGACTATGATATGCTCGAGAAAACTGCTGCACTTTTCCGACCAAAGCTTTTAATTGCAGGAGCTAGTGCGTACAGCCGAGATTTTGACTATCCTCGCATGAGGAAGGTAAAACCAACCTGATGCTTGAATGTTTGCTTTATGGTTTTTTGGTCTAGTTTTGGCTTTCGGTAGCATCTGATATATCATTTATCTCACAGCTTGTTTGAATTTTTGAAGATTGCAGACTCAGTTGGTGCTTTTCTGATGATGGATATGGCTCATATCAGTGGGCTTGTGGCTGCTTCTGTGGTAGCCGATCCTTTTGAGTATTGTGATATTGTTACAACAACCACTCACAAGGTATGTATGTCGTGGAATCTGAAACACAAATTCCATCCGGATTTAGAGACAAAAAAAAAAGAGTTCTCTGATTGACCCAAAATCTGATAGTTTATTATACTTTGCTATTTCAGTCTTTGAGAGGTCCGAGAGGTGGCATGATCTTCTTCAGGAAGGATCCAGTTAATGGGGTTGAACTTGAATCTGCCGTTAACAATGCTGTCTTCCCTGGTTTGCAGGTTGAGATAATCACCATCCATTCGAGCTCTCTTTTTTGATAATGTTGCTTTCGACGTCATTATAATTTGTGTTGTGCTGTATGTTTCTAGGGTGGCCCTCATAACCACACAATTGGAGGATTAGCAGTCTGCTTGAAACATGCACAGTCGCCGGAATTCAAGGCTTACCAGAAAAGAGTACTCACCCTTATATACCTGGTCAATATTTAGTTCTTGTGCACGTGATAGATTCTGTAAATTAAACTTGTCACAATCTTTTGTTGCTTGTTTAGGTTGTGTCTAACTGTAGGGCTCTAGCTAACCGACTGGTTGAACTCGGGTTTAAGCTGGTTTCTGGTGGCAGCGACAATCACCTGGTTCTTGTTGATCTAAGACCATTGGTAAGTTCTTTCTTATAAACTCTATTATTAGTGGCCCCAGCAATGGACTCTTTTCTCAAACCAGAGTATCACTTATCAATCCAATATTTGTGCTATGGTTAGGGCATGGATGGTGCTCGGGTTGAGAAAATCTTAGACATGGCATCGATTACCCTCAACAAGAACTCTGTCCCAGGTGAGCCTCATTCCCTTATTCTCGGTTTTGTTTTTCCTATTTGAAAAGATGTTGTTAGTCAATTTGAAAAAAGTTGGTGTTTGTGAAATGTGTGAAAACAGGTGATAAGAGTGCGTTGGTTCCAGGAGGAATAAGGATAGGATCGCCTGCGATGACGACAAGAGGGCTCTCAGAGAAAGACTTTGAGGCGGTTGCTGATTTCATCAAGGAAGGTGTGGAGATAACGATCGAAGCCAAGAAGTTGGTGACGGGATCAAAGCTTCAAGAATTCACCAAGTTTGTGACTTCTCCTGATTTCCCACTGAAAGGGAGAGTGGAGAGTCTTAAGGATAGAGTCGAATCCTTCACCTCCCGTTTTCCCATTCCAGGCGTTTAATTTTTATATAAAAAAACACATATAAGTCGTGTTGTTGTATCTTTTCATTATTATTATCAGCATCGTTGCTGGCTTGTCCCAAGTTTCAACGCTGTTATTTATATCTTTAGCAAATCCATAATAGTGAAAAAACAAAATTTAAAATAAAGTTAAACCAGAGATTTTCCCGTTTGATTCTTCTGCATATTCTGAAACTCACGTTTCAGAATAAAATAAAAAAGAACAAAACAAGAAGCGTACATTGGGTTTTTGAGCAAAAAAAGAAAAGATCTTGTTGCTTAAGATGCAAGAAACCTAATTATCTTATCTAAAAGATAAATGTTTTGTTACAGAAATCAGTTCTTGCAACTTGGGTCGACCGTAGAACTAGCAGGTCGGAAGATGTAAGGCTGGCCGGCGTAAGTGAACTGAGCAGTGGCACCAGCTGGCAAAGCTGCTCCATTAATCAGAAGGCACGTGTTTCCTTGTGGGTGAAGCAGCCATGGCTCGACGGGCTTCACAGGAGCAAACCCTTGGCAAGAGAGAGTTACTTGCGACTGAAGACAGGTGCAAGTGTTGATCACCGTCACTTTCCACTCCGATTGTCCAGCGATTTCTCTCCCAGTCCTCACGGTTCCGATCTGGATATCACCGAAAGTGCAGCGGCACATTCCTGCATGTGGGTAATTATTGTTTCATTGTTAAAAATATCCTTGTAGCAGAAAAGTATTAGAAAGATAAATAAAAGATACATTCCAAAATAATACAATAGTTTAGATATTCGACTACATTACCTTGAGTGACCATAGAGAGAAGAAGAAAAACAACAAAATACTTAAGAGCAAACGCCATTGTGATTGTGATATGTGTTTCTAGAGATGAAGAATAAGAACAGAATCGGTCAAATTTATACATCCATTGCATACGTTTAACTATATTGCTGCCTTAATGTTGAAAGATACGTTCGTATGTTTAAAGACTGTAGACACAGTACAAGTAAAATGTCTAAAGAAAGAAGTAAAGTGTTTTAATTAGAAAGAGCTTGATTCTCTCTATTTTTTTGTAACTTGTTTTTATAAACCTCCCACACTGTATTCACTTAATTACTTTTTTGGCTGGTCAACGAATCTAAAAATTCAAATTTCATTTTGAATTACAAGTATTTGAATTTTGGAAGGTGTTTTTTCCCTTTGCTATATGTGGTCATTGCCTATCAAGATTTTTTTTTTTGGTCATTGCCTATCAAGATGAGTACGTATTACGTAACGTTCATTACCTGAATTCTCAGATAATTAAATGGGCAGAATTGATTTGAGCCTTCCTTCTAGACTTTGGATTCATTTGATTATGTCTCAGTTTTTCCGGTAATTTCTTCTAAAAAAACCTTTTAATTCCCACCTTTTCATAATCATATAACCGCATGAAAATCTGAGTTTTAATCATATAGCCCCATGAGAATCTGAGTTTTAATTAGGGCGGTCCAGATTAAAATTATTGTGTCCTTTTTCCTTTAGCCTTGTTAAAAGGTCGATGCTAATTCTTTGACCGTAGGGCCGCAATGCTAATAAATTTATTTGACAAAAGGGATATTAATTTATTAAAATCTTCGTGCATGCAAAATATTTCACAACTATATTCTTTAGGTATGCAAGATGGTTTTGAAAAGGACAAAAAGTAGTAAGGGAACAATGTTTTTCATTTTTGTCTTATATTTCCAATTTTCCCATAAATAAAAAGAAAAAAAAAACGACTATCTTTATTAATCATAGGCTAATGATTCCGACAATATTTAAGTATTAAACATCAGTTTCATATGCTAGCTCAAGTAACTATAAACTAACACGAACAAAAACCGAATTAATTAAACCGAAACAGTACAGGTAGAGAATAATTAAGTAATTAAGAGCAAACGATGACGCTGTCGAGGACCTTGAGATCGAAGCTCGTGTCCCATACGTATTGGAAAACGAAGTCAACATGGGGCATGGTGAAATTACCGGCGTTGAGGAGACACATGTCACCGGATTTCGACAACACCGAGGTATCGACGGGCGTGACCGATTGAAAACCGACACATGACAACTTCGTGTACTGGAACTTGCATTGACAAGGGTTAGTCACCGGCCCTCACTTCCCACTCCGGTTTGTTCTGAACCAATTTTCCGGTTTTTGATTGTTTCACTGATAGATCATTTAGTTGACAGTTCCCATCCCCTTCCAAAATTTCCCAAGGGCAAAAAAAAAACATATTATTATTATAGCATATGCATGTATATATATGTTGCTCTAGTCAAACAAGAATTGGCATATGGATTTAGAGTTATAGTTATCATATAGACAATCTAATTTGGGATCACGTAAATTAATGGCCGTTGGATTTGTTTTTTTTTTTTTTGCTCAATTATATGGCCGTTTGATAATAAGACAAATTAAAGAATATGTGACGACCGACGACTAGCGGTAATATATTTTGTCAAAATTTGATATAACTATACAATTTTGAAAATATAAGACAGAGTCTGTATGTTATTACCATGGATGATAAAGGCGAATAAGAGAACGAGGCAAAGAAGTTTGCAAGCGTTTGGTGCCATTTTTTTTTTATTTTGGAGTTTTATCAGATTATTTAGGAAAAGGTAGTAGATATGAGTAATATATATATATGACTGCTCAATTTTGATGTCAAGTATTTTATAGGGAGGCATTGGGGTCTTATGTGAAGTCTTATTTCCACTAGTTATGGGATGTTTGTTAAAGAATCGAAAAGAAGATAGAAGACTTATAGTATGGAAAATAATTAAATAGTGCGAGTTATTCATTTTTTTTTCCTTTGTTTTCTTGAAAGGTCGCAGCTAACTGTTTGACCGCAATCTGGTCATGATGATGGAATTACTGATTTGAGTCAAAATTAGTTTGGTAAGAAAATCCGAAAATGAGAACAAAATGATTTTACTGGAGTAAAAAAGCTATAGTGTGGAGACAGAAAATATAGAATTTCAATAACTTGTCAATTATCTCAAAACTCTTACCAAAATTGACAATGTTGATTATTTCAGTTCTCTCCTTTTTTTTGGGTATTCTCGGCAAGACTTTGATAACTTGTAAAATACTTGAAGAAGTATAAACTATTTAGCAAGAATGATATCTTCATCAGATCCGAAATTCCATTCCATAAATGCATAAGATACAAAAATATTGTACTTAAACCCACTTTGATCATCTTTATTAGTCTCAGAGTAATTATGAAAACCCATCATCAGTTTCATGTGGTCAGGTAAATAAAACTTCTTCGTGAGTATTACACGCGAAACCGTTGCATGACTGGTAAATATAACGATACAAAGAAACCGAGAGTACACACAACATAGGTGATAAGGTCACGAATCACGATCGAGGACTTCTCTAATTAAATTTGGTTGCCGAAAACATCAAATAAAATTACACGCAAACTGGCTGACCGTCGAGCTTTGAAACAGTTACCAAAAAAAAACGATATGAAAAACGAATATTTTTTTTTATTAATCCTCAAGCTAACGACTGGGACAAGATTCATGTAAAGTATATCATCCATAGTTTCATGTGCTCAAGCTAGTAACTAAACTAGCATGAACCAATCCAAAACAGAATTAAAACATGAACATTTCATGTTTCGGGTAGAAAAATTTTAAGGGCAAACAATATCGGCGTCTAGGAGCTTGAAGTCGGAGCTAGTGTCCCATACGTAAGTGAATACGACTTCTTCGCGAGGATGGATGTAGAAACCGGATCTGAGGTAACACACGTCACGTACATGAGTGAACGACGCCGACGGGTCGATGGGTGTGACCGAATTGAAACCGACGCATGACAACTTTATGTAGTGCAACCGACACTCAAGACAAGGGTTCTTCACTCTCACTTCCCACTCCGGTTTGTTCTGAACTATTTTTCCGGTCTTCGATTGTTTTATAGATAGATCACTTAGATGACAAGATAGATCATTTGGATGACTATCCCCATACCCTTCAAATTTTCCAAAGAAAACCAAATATGCTTATTTTCCTTTATATAAGAGTACAAAGGAATAGATAAGAAATAAATATAACATACTACGTGTTAATTTTATGTTCTAAGAAGAACGTAAAGTTTTAAACTAGATTTACTATATATATACATTGGATATGGAGTTATAGTGATCACTGATCATATAGATGAATTAGGACTAGGTAATTGTTTTTGTTTTGTCAAAAAAAAAAATATTACAATTTGATAACAAGTCAAATTAAGAACATATATACGAAATTGCACCATCATATAATTGTTTTATATAAAAGGATACCTTGGGCGACGAAGGCGAGGAAGAGAATGAGGCAAAGGAGTTTGCAAGCGTTTGATGCCATTGTTTGATCTCTTTGGAGTTTTATCAAATAATTTCTGGAAAAAGAAGTATTAAACTTATGACTATATGTGGCTGCTCAAATGTGATGTTGAGTATTTATAGGGAGGTATAATTGGGGTTCATTTGTATAATAGAAAGGTTTTAGGATAGTTATCAGATTTTTATGAGTAGCTAATCAAAAGAGAGAATGTACTGATTTTATTCTACTTCTGAGTTCTGACAATTTGGTCATACTTTTGATTTAGGCATTAATTTAAAGGGTCAAAGCAAGTTATTTGACCGCAAGGTTATTAATTTGGTCACTAATTTTATTAACCATCGAATGATTGTTTGAGTCAAAATTATATATGGCTCTCAACTCAATCGTTACCATACTACAGTTATAAGCTCCATCTTTTTATTCCTTAAATATCTATCAATGTACTTCTAATTTCTTAAAACTCAAGATACATTCTTTATCAAACATCTTTTGGTTTGAATAGAAGGAGAGGATTGTCACTGTTAAGGAGACGCACGTCGTCGCCGGATTTTATAATCTTGGAGCTATCGAAGATTGTGGTCGATGTGAAGCTACCACATGACAGCTTTATGTCGTCAACTTCGCAGAGACATGTAGTATAGAATATGATAGGTGAAGTAGTGAAATATCGTTACATTACACTTCCCATCATCCCATGTCCTTCCAAATTAAGGTTATGTAAGAGATTGAGCTAAGAATATTATGTAATAAACGGACCAATGATGGACAACAAAAGAAAGTATACTTCATTCACAGCCTAATCACACACTGTAATGAATGGCCTAATCATACTTTCATTCTAACAAAAAGAATTATAGACTCGGTTTCGGGTCCAAGAATTCGCCATGGATGTGATGAGAAACCGCAGTATTTGCTCGGGGACAAGCGGATCAGCTACGCACTGATCATGCCATGGAACACACTTTTTCTGCGAAATGAATAGATATGCATTGGTTAATAAGCAGCTAGCCAGCTACAATGACAGAATGATATGTGTTCGAAATCGTAAAGCCTAAGCATTCTTCAGTTAACCATGAGAGCAGTTTTTTCATACCTTGTCTTGTGCTGCTGCAGCAAAGACGATTGTCGTCTATATATGTTGCCTGGACACCAATCATCCAAGATCCGATAGTGGTATCATCAAACGCATATGTCTTCAACAAACCACTGCATTTATATTAATACCAGTGAAGTATGTTAAGCAAGTGAATCGAGCTTTGTTTGACTCACGTGACTAAATCTTCTGCCAAGTTGTGAAACCTAACCTGTTTATATTGATATATTGAGCCAGATTCTTGGAGAGTATCACAAGCGAACCAGTTGCATGACGGAAGTACCTAAACAAAACGACCAAAGAAACTGAGTACACACAACATATGTTAACGAGGGCTTGATTTCTCATTTGGTTGTTGAAAATATCACATGAAATTTCAATTTCTGTAGAAACGGTTACCAGAAAACCTCTAAGGTAGATGACACTTACGATTTGTCGTCCCCGAATTTCCACCACTCAGGCTCATACCACTGACTTCCCCTGAACACCAAGAACATCCCATGAATATGAAAATGAGAATGTGTTTTATAAAACGTTTAGGCAATAATGCTCAAACATGCGAACTGAAGAAAGTTGAGTATCTACGAACTCTTCAGTAATCACATCTCCAGACTTCATGCACCCAATGTAAGCACCATCTTGACCACGACGGCTTTCAAGAAGCCCAATCAACCCCTCTGTCAGATCGAAAACATTTGTCACACAAATATATTGTTGATACCCTGCTTGGACCAAACATTGCTTTGCAAGACAAGGACCTGAAATAGGAAGCATTACCAAGATCTAGGTCAACGTCGTCATCAACTTTGACATAAAACTCTGCATCCCAATTCTGAACCGCAGCACTGTAGAAGAACTTGACTTTCTTGGGTAACTCTTCTTGGGCTTCCTCGTGATTCTCCTATTAATCCATCAATATTTTCGTGAGAAAAGTTAGATTAGAATCCACATCAGTGAGCAGAAATTCAGATAAGCAGGCAATGGAGATAAGCAGAAGAGTTATTCTTACTTACAAGAATCAAAAAATCTTTAGTTGCACGATTTTCCTCGTCAATTTTCCGATCTAAGCTATCACCTCGGTTAGCACTAGAAGTTTACAAAGCATTAACATTAGTATCATCACCCATATGATGAGACAAAGCGTGAAAATTGTTGCAACAGAAAAAATAAAATCTAAGGAAATGAAGACTAAAGTGAGTAGGAAAACCTCCGACCAATCACAAAGCGTATGACAACTCCTCTTTCTTCAAGTTTTTTCAAAGCATCATCTAAGGAGAAGAAAATTTCATAAGAGAGATTTCTTTTATTGTACCATTTTGTTAACAAGTCATTGTTGGATGACCAAAAAAGCAGGTGAAAATTCTACCTCGAGGCATCCAAGACCCTCTAAATTTATTGCGCTTCAAGTGACTCCCGAAGCCTGTGTAAACTCCAATCACAGCAAGCATCTTCTTCCCTGAAGAAGAAACACTTTTGTGGTTTTTAAGATAGCCTTGACTCTTCGCCTGTGCCAACTCCATTTCAGTTTCAACAATTCTCCTCTCAAGATCTCTATTAAACAGTTACATTGTGTGTTAGCACAAGTAGGACATAAAAAACATCATATCAGCAAGAAAAACATCTTACTTGCATCCAAGAACCACCAGCTTGTCATCCACCGTAAGAACCTTAGGCCTCTATGCTCCACAAAAAGATGATCAATATTAAAGACAAAACATTTTAGTTACTGATGATAAAAACTCAATCTTTCAAGAGGGGCATAAGAAAGACCAACCTGATCATAATTCTTCTTAAGCACAGTGTTGAGTGCTGCTCTGTGCTGCGCATCTTGCCATAACCTAACACCATAAATGAGATCAGAAACCACCAATTGATATGGATCCAGGGATCGAATTTGAGCTTGTGATTGGTAAATTGTAAGAGAAGCACTGTAATGGACTTCGATTCCGACAAACACATTGCAATATAGTAAATCTAAAATTATGTAAATCTCGACCGGTAAGCAATTTAGAACATCAGAGATCTAATGACAACTATGAGAAGAGTGTTCCATCAAGATCACGATCCTCAGAAAAAAAATATAGAATCATTTAGATTTGATAACACTCCGGGGAAATAAATCAGTCGGAAAATGCGACGTACCGACCAGCGACGTAGAGCCAAGCTAGACAAGAGAAGAAGGCCATGATAAGAGAAGGCTTGGAGGTACTCTGAGATTTTGAAGACCTACCTCGCCGGTCTGATTTCGCAGAGACCGTCGTCGGTAAGCTCTCCATCTCAATCGACGGCGAGAAGGAGAGAGATCAGAGGCAAGAGAGACGACGACTTCAGAGATTCAAATTAGAGAAAGTGAACAAGGAATGCAAATAAAAAAGTAACAGCTGAAAATGTTTCCTTGGTCCAATTAGATTTGCTTCTTCTTTTTAAACGACTGCGAAAGCTGCGAAAAGGAACCGTTTCTTTGTGGTCGTCGGAGTTCGGTTATCCCGGCAACGATATTCCGATTTCAGGTGACTATCCCGGTGTCTAGCAAATAGTTTCAAAACACTCTGATCCAGTCAGAGGTTTAGAAGCTGGACCACTGGGCTTCAAATCTCATATTTTTAATTTAATTTTTGTGCTCTAAAATATCTTCTATTACTTTTTTATCGACTCTTCGTCATAGTCCATTACCCAATTGACCTAAAAGAGTTACAATTCTAAGAATTTGAACTCAATAGTTGTTGTAGAAACGTAAATCACTTGATAAAAACCCACTAGAACAATAACGTTTCTACAAAAAGGTAAAAGAGAGCAAACCATTAAACAAGAAAGAAGAAGATAAAGTTGAGAGTCTCTGCTCATATAAAGTACAGTCCAAACCAAATGCTGACTAGCAAAAAGCTGCAACTAACTGAACACCAATCATTGTAACCCCAAAGTAAGGTAGATCGCTTAAAGAATTTCCTGACGCTGATTTCTTCCAAGGCTAGTCAGGTAAATGTTACGTGTCTCGGACTCTTGGGTCAAAACAGAGGAATTCTTAGCGGCTAGCGGGTAACAAGCTAGAGAGTGAAGGCACTCCTTGGCTTCTCATCTCCTCTTGTGCTCTCTTCATTTCCTCTGGATCTGTTTACCACACATACCAACAATTACTATAGAGAGCGAGACCCAAGAACCATTTTAACGATGAACATGAATAATGCACGGATACAAGTGGGAGTGTTAGAGAAGTGTACCCATGTTTTCCATCAACTTGGGCATTAAGAACACAACCACGACCATGAATCCCACCATAAGACCCATTGGACTTTTCACAATTGACATTACAGAGAAAGGTTCTCGCATCTGCAAATCGTACATGATCAACCATAAAGCAGGACGAAGAAGCATATAGCTAAAACCAAAAAAATAAAAGAAAAAAAGAAGAAGATACAGTATAAAGTATTCACCTCGTAGTATTGCTCTGCCCGCAGTGGCTCCAAAACCAGCTCAGTAAGACTCCTCCTAGTTTCTGTTAGCGTTGCTTGAACCTTGCCACGATGCCGAGCACTAACATCAACTCGCACCTAATTTTGAATCATTGATTGAGGAATGAGAAGCAGAGTTCTTAAGAAAGTTGTAGTTTTGTAGAAAGTCATAGATTACTGCAAACTAAACACAAAACTTACTGGAGAGAAGAAGTAGCCCAGCGCATATACTTCAATCAGATGAGTCCCAGCTGGCACTTTGTGGCTTTAAAATTAGAGTAGTAGAGGAAAACGATAATTAACAATACTGATACTCTTGTTTTCAAGGCAGAAAACAGTAACAAATTTTATCGAGTTCATTTCTAGCAATAATATTTGAAGAACATACAATGTAAAGTATCCATCCGGCCTGAGGAAAGTAATATTCTGTCCACCATTGAGTACAACTTTGATATTTGAGAACTTTGCAGCGTGACCAATCGCGGTGCCTGCCAAAAATAACTTGTAGATTACTTTGCACAAAAATAGGTAGTGAGACTACAACATAATGGAAACGAGAGTAATGAGTAGCACTCGAAGAAGATGATGAAAGAAAGCATACATTGTCCAAAAACTATCAAAGCATATTGCTCCTAATTCTCAAGCACTCAAAAACAGTGATGATATAAACCATAAAGTAATTCGAAAAACGTTATTCAAATTATCGAAACATATGTGCTCATATTCTTAAGCAAACACTACTTTTAGCCAGTCTACCTGTAGAGCTGACATACTACATAGTAAAGCTAAACTCGCTAATGGAATTGTAAAATATATAGAAGGAAAACATATATTCAGAGAATTTACATCAGCTAACGATCATAAAATTAAGAAAAGCAAATACACTCATAACAGGTAGGCCTAATGACAGCTATTAATCTCAAGATACATATACTTTTGACAATCACAGATTGACTGATAATTATAAGTTTTGGACGGTTCAGATAATCTGATAATTGACAAGGTAGCAAAACTGAGTAATCTAAAGTCTAAACCAAGCCCAGCAGAAACAGAAGAAAGAAAAGGTGAAAAGGCTAAAACTTACTTGCTGGGATTCTTACTCTACCCGTGACTGTGTAACTATCCTCAGACCTGCAAAATCAAACAAAAAGAGAAAGAAAAAAAAAGTAATGAATGAATTAAAACAGTTGAATTCAAGTACAAGAGATTGAAATCAACGTTGCACAATCTGCACAAATTATCAACTCGAAAATAAAGATATCACGATCACCAAAGCACGAAAAAACAGACTTATGGGTAATGCTGATAAAATATAGAAACTAAGAACAGCTACGATTGAATGAAACTAAAGCTCTAAGGATTTTGTAGAGATCGAGGATAAACGAATTTAATATACCCAGATGAGATCGGCAGAGTGGAAGCTAAGAAGAAGAAGAGAGAAATCAAAGCGAGAAGGGAAGTGGATCTGAGAATCGGCGCCATGGTCGTCGTTCACAGATTGTCGAAAGCCGAACGACGAGATTTTATAATCTCCTTCGATTCAGGAAGAGAAAAAAAAAAAAAACAAAAATAATACGAATTAAAGACACTTCTGACCCAGCCAGACGGTTTAAGCTTAACCAAACGTGAAATCAGAGTTTAGATTAATTAGAGCTTAGCAAAACAGGACTTTCACTTTTCAACTGTTTTTTTTTTCTCGTTCTGTTGGTAAGAGCATCATTAATGCAGAGACCCATATAGGTCTTTTATTCATTAGTTTAATATTATTTGAGCATAAATTTGAATTAGAAACTGTTTTTAGAGACCCTAATTTTTAGACAGTGCAATGGTAGAGACTGAAATGAGTCTCTTGGAATTTTTTTTTTTAATAAAGTTAATGAAATATGTATTATTAATAAGTAAAATTTATTTGATTAAAATACATGTAATACATTTAAATTAAAACAAATAAAACATACAATTTTTCATAAATACTGAAATATTATATTGAGTTAATCCAAATTTCTGTCTATGTAGATTAGTTTAGTATGTAGATTAGATTTTTATATTTTACATTTTTTAAACCCTGAATATTGAATTTCCATTGACAACACATAAAAGATTTATGGAGTTGTATGTTTTGAGAGAGTAATAGATTTTTTGCAAAATGGGCAAGATTTTTACGAGATGCAAAACTCTTGTTAGTCGATATTTTTTTTTGCAAAGCCCTTTAATATTTTTGAGACCAGGTCTTTTTGTCTTTTTTGTTAGTCGAGATGCTTTGTCTCTATGGCTGCAAGCCCCGATGAACGTCGTCTGCTATACTTGTGGCACTTCACTTCTCCTCTCCACTGCAGGTTTAAAGAACAAAACAGAGGAAGAGTGTTTTATTATCATCAAGCTAGGAGAAATGATCAAAGAAGGTTTAACATTTTAACAAAAACACAAAGCAATGTCATCATTACTTTTATTCCTTGTATGAGAATTACCGAGAAACTCTAGCATACTCAAGGTGGGAAAAAGAAGATCACTTGATAATTAACATAAGCAGGGGAAAATGTCTCAGTAGACCAAATGTCGTATGGTTTACTTTACTAAGTCAATGCATACTCAAAAGAAAGGGACTTACTTTCATTTTGTTGAACTCAAACCTCCGAAATAATTTTGTAGTTAAGTGATGCCACATGGAATTCTCGGTCATGCGAAATGAAGAACCTGCATGAATTACAAATATTAGTTGACTTGAATCTGCGAACTCAAGTAGGATATATTATCAAAGCACTTACTCAGGACACTCATCAAGCAAACGCTCGACTGAATCATCCAAGGGACGACCAAGCTTCCTCTCTTCTTCTTCATCTTCTCCTATAATCCTTAGCAAGCCTCTCAACGGTGTACACCTCAGGATTCTCTTTGTGCAATCTGTACATCTCAATCTTCTCAGAGTCCTTGATATAAGACCTTCTAGCTGCAGGCTCCTTGACTTGCTTCAACAACACACTCATCTCCATCATTCTCTGTTTGATCCCATCAACAAAAGCTCTGCTATGGCTATTATCTTGCTCAATCTCTTTGATCAAATCATCATACTCTTTCATTTCGTTAACCATTGAGACTTCTTTAGGACCCAATCTGCTCATTACATCGCCTGAATCAGAAGCGGTGTTCTTCTGATGCAGAACAGAGACACCATTGAAATGCTCCTTAGTCAGACCAAACGACCACATCGATTTAACGTCCCAATCAAGATCATCAGATTCTGTGTCGCCGAATGATCCTCCCGTTGGAATATCCCATCCATTATCATCGCCTTCGAATCCATCAGACCCTGATTTCCCTGAGTGAAACCGAGGATAGATGTCTAGTGATTCTACTAAGGTTATACATATCTAATGAATCTCAAGTTACAAATCAATCCAATGTTGAGCCGCTGAAACAAAGCCAAAATAGTAACTAACCACCGATAAACAAAATTAAAACACACACATACAAAAAATAGAAAACATTCTTAGCAGAGATTTTCGTATGAACAGATAAGAGGCATCAGAGATTTATCGAAAAATATAAAACAAATGAGAGAGGAGATTAGGGTTCATAATACTTATTTGAAAGCCTTCCCAAACGTCGTCGATTTCGGAGAACCTGCAGAGACAAATCGCGAACCGTTGGAAAATCGATCGGAGAAGTTGCAGAGACCAAACGATTTCAATCTTTTTCGTGGGAGAAGAAAGGAAAATGGGAGAAAATGAAATGAAAATACACAGTTTTTTTTTTTCCATTTCCTTTAGCCAACTAAACCCTGCCACGTGTAAGGTAGAAACGTCTCTACAAGTCGCCAAATAAGAGACGTTTTTGTCAAATGAGAGACGCTGACCCATTTTTTTAATAATTAGTTTCTGTTAGAAACGACCAAAATCTCTGCGTTAATGATGCTCTAACTTCTTACTTTTAATCTTTAAAAAAAAAACGTGACACTGGAAATTGCTGCCGCCAAAAAGAACAGCGACAGTTACATGTCTCTCAGGTCCTCTCACTCTGTTTCACAGTGCGAACATATTGGAAATCAAAAACTGTGGTAATCACATTCTTTTCTTTCATTCATGTAAACAGAAAAAAAAAATCTATAAACTTTTCACTTCAACCATGAATCTAGGATACAATTTCTACCCAGAAACACCACAAAAAAAAAAAAAAAGAATCATTGACAAGCTTGAAGCCACTGTTACAAACCAAGCTTCTTTGAGAACAAGTCCGAGATGTTAGCTATTACGAATCCAGCAAACACCTGAAAAAAAAAAACAAACGCAAAAACTCTTGAGCAGCAAGAAATTCTTCATTCTCTCTGTTTGTGATAGCATACGAGTTAGTTACCTGAGTAGAGCCAAGAATGTAGATGGCGGAATAATGACGACCATGAATCATCATGTCAGCAACCATCGCCAGTGGAATGGTGAGAGACATTCCCAGTGTCGCTACTAGCGGAGTCGTCCACACCACAGAAAGTGCCCTTGAAATTGCAAAAAAAAAAGAGCCAAGTCATTTTCCATACATTTACACACCTCTTTATTGGAGCTAGCCAAGCAACCAACTCTATTGAGGGTTCTAGGGACTTGTATTTATTGTTGGCACATTACATCTGTTAAGAACTGACACCTAGAATCATTGAAACATACCAGAAATAGTCAGAGAGGACACTTCCAACGAAACCATTAGCCAATACAACTTCATCAACTTTGGCAGAGTGCGGTATCGTAAACTTGGGTTCGATTCCTAATGCTGTCAATGGCCACACTGCAACCCAAAAAAAACAGTTGAATAAAAGAGACGATTCCCTGTTTCATATGTTATGCATCAGATGATACACTTGTAAAAATTGAATACTATGGAAGATCTTATTATACCAAGCCACCAGAGAGCAACAAGTGTGAACAATCCTATGTATCCGAACAGCTTTTGCACATCAACTCCTTCTCCTTCTTCACCGGCAAACTTCTTTAGAAGCACTGTGATATCAATAACAGAAGAGTACAGTACAGGCCACGAGGTTATTGGCCCCAACTCAAAAAATCCCTAAACCATAGGAGGATCAAATAAAAGAAATACTGTACTTTCTAACCTGTAAATAGTCCATACGAGACTGCAGAGAGAAGCCCAAAGAGATCTCCCACAAGGGACCGTTGCCCGTTGCTAAACACAAATATCAACTGTACGTTAAAAGAATATGGTTGATGAAATTGGAAAACTCATGTAATCATGAATTTTATGAGAATGAGACCGTTCCAACACTTACAAAAAGAAAAAAAACTTAAGCAAGATTAGTGTAAAAAAACTGAATCTTCCAGATGATACAAACTTCAGATATCAATTTAGAACGCAGTTCAGGTTTAGCTTTTGAATTTAAGGAGATATCTTTCACTTTCCAAAAAGAGATGAATGTTGAAACAGGTTAGGATAAGTAACACGAAAAAAAACTTACAGTGAAGAATTTAATTGTGACTCATCAGCAGCCCAAGTTTTCCCGAGCGTAGTCATGACCACACCGGCCATACTGACAAATACAGCAACTACTTTCGACAGGTTCAGAGTATCTTGACCCAGAAATGCACCAATGAAAAGAGTAAACAGTCCTGAGGTTGAGGACAATACAGTAGTGCTTGCCACACTTGTACGAGCAAGAGCAGCATTGGACAGATACTGTATTCATTACCAAGGGGTTAAGTTAATAGAGGAATCTTTTCAGGCACACATCAAAACTATACAAACAGCACGTCAAAGAAAACACACCTCTGTTACAAACCAGATTGGTGCGAGGTAAAGCCCGTACATTGCAATCTGCTTTGTGGTGATCTCTTTCCCATGTTTCGGAGTCTGTGTCTCTTCTTTCCCTTTACCGATCAAAGGTCTCGCATCTTCTTCATGGGATGAAAAGTCTTCCTCACTATCTTTCTTAGTGATAGTCCCTTGAAGTTCCATTTCAATGATTTTGTGCGTCAGAGGAGAACCGATCTCTCCCGAGGAGGGCTCATCGGTCAAGGCGGGAACTTTATTGCTTCTGGAAGATCGCCGTTGCTCTAAATATCGACAAAGCCAGTCTTTGAGGAATGCTACGGGAAGGTAAACTATCATAAGAGAAGCTCCGAGATATGTGACTGCAAACGGCTGCTTATAGGCGATAAAGATATCCTGGTCAATCGAAGTCAATCATTCAATAAATTATTCAGAAAAAATAAGTTTATCATTGACCCATTTGAACAGAGATCTGAATTGTGTTTTCCCTTTGATTCCTCCATTCAAATATAGCATCAAAATTGGACCTCTAATTGAAGCTCGAAGCCTATAAGCCTAATGGAATTGGATCCAGAAATTGACCGAACTCAAAACAAATCAAACATACACAACCTCAAAAAAAAAAAAAGACAAATACGAATCGAATCAAAGAAAAAAAAAAGGGGGCAATTTCAGAGTCAATACCTGAGTAACTTCTGCAGAGGTGACCCATATGACAACGACGGTGCCAATCAAGAAAAGACCAGCTTTGTATCTCCAACCCATCAGATAATAATAGGAAAACTCTATATGAAATCAAGACCCAGGTCTGTGTAAGTGGATCAATCCGCAGAGATCTGTTTGTGTAAATTGACTTGCAAGAAAAATTGAACCTTGCGCTAAAGGAAACAAAAGGAATTAAATCAGCCTGAGGGGGTTGGTTCGAGGAAGGTGGTGGAGTGAAGAAGAGAGAAAGGGGAAAATCTAGAAACGAGCAGAAAATGGACCAGCTTCAACGGAAGAGTAACCGCGACGGAAGGAAGGGGACGTAGAGGCAAGCGTTAGACAAGGAATATGCATTTATTAATTTGGCACCTAATTTATTTGTGTAAGAAAAACATTCATGTTTTAAGAAAACAAATATTTTAACCGTTTTAAGTACCGGTTATTCTTTTTGCCACGATATTTTTAGATCGTAACATCTACGTTTTGTATAATAGGTAGGCTATAGCTTAAATTAAATGACAGAAAAATTGTAGAAAATATCAAAGATTTATAGAACCTAATTGTATTAGATTAAGCTTGCTTCACGCAATCACGCATGAACCAAATATCATTTTAGGTGTTGCATTGTTTTAATTGTCTCATTATGGCAACGCAGAACTTTTGGGTAGACATCAAAGGATCTCAACTGTCGCTTTTGCCGATTCTTGCATTCGAAGGAGTAACGAGATGCAATTTTTCCCAAGTTTGAGGCATGTACATTCTGATAATATGACATTCTCTATGGCTTGCTTGTTTCCGAAATGTTAACACAGATTCATGTAATAAACAGGTATGCACTTTGCTTTATGTTCGGGTTGCCAAGACAAACATTGGTAAACTCAAATTCTGATTATTCTTTTTACTGTAAATGCTTTCAAAACGAATTGTTGCTTGCCACAATGTAGCAAGTGACAAAGCTGCAGAATTAATATTGGACTCTTAAGAGATGGTTTCGTGTTGGAAAATTCAACTGGTCTTTCAAGAATTAATGTGAGATGTTTCCAGAATTAATTGTTTCGTCAATCAAAGCTTGGAAAAATGCTTTTGGCCTGCCCCATTTATTTGGAGCTTGGAAAATTTACAACGATGAACAAAAATCCCTTACAATGACTTACGAAATTGATGTAGATATAAAGAGGAAGTCACATACACAATGATTCTCACTATGGGTAGTTATAGAATATGATACCACAAATTCACACAAGCTTGCAAAGCAATGAGCTTTCACATTGCTCCATAAATACAAAAAACTTCAGTATAGGTGAGTTGAAAACATAAGCAGCCAGATGAAAAAGCTGGAGGAAACACAGGGGTTTTTGACATCAGAAGGGCAGACAAAATAACCGCGGCAAACACAGAACTGAGATCCCTTAAGAGACAGATGCACTCACTTAAATGCAAGATGGTAGAGTAGGTCCGTGGCAGACAAAGGCCACTGCGATGTATATGATTACCAGTAGTAGTAGTATCAAGAGAATTCTGCAAGAAACAAACACAGTTGGGAAAAATGTTCGATTCATGAAAAATCCAAGAAAAAATATCGTCACTTGAGATGTTGTTCATTAGGACACAGATTATCGAATGCCGAATGTTTTTTAGGCCAAAACTAGTTTCGACATACATTTTTGCAATCGCAATACTGCAAATTGTTCAATTTCATGCATGACCTCTAAAGCAAGTTTTTAAGGTATTAGGAAACATACGTGAGCTTGCAATTTCTCCACCAGACGTTGCTTCTGAAACGGCGAGCTTGCTTTCTGAAACGGAATGTATTTCCCTGCATATTGGCGGTTTTGTCGACGAGAAGCTCGAGCCGCTCACCTCTATCTAGAACTTTGTCAATGTTCTCTATCATCACGTCCCGCACCTGACCCAGAACCCCCAATCACAAAAGAAACAGAGATGTATGTCAAGATAAAGCCAAGATTCAGAGCCAAGTCTTTTACTAAAAAGGAGAAATTGAGACCTGACTCATTTCACCCTTAATCCGATTAATCCTGTCGGCATTAGGATCATTAGAGTAATACTCAATCTGCTGGCTGAGAACTCTTGAGAATTCCTCGTTCATGGCATAAGCTTGTGCTGTATGAACTGCCCGGCCATATGTCCTTACGAACCTCTGGTGTATATCCTCCAGAAACGCAAACGGAATTCTCCCTGACATCATTTACATACAAAGACTAGTTTTTTTATATATAATAACAAGAGAACTCTGTTTCTGTAAAGAAATGGAATCGATTCGAATCTGGCATACATCAAGATTTTAACTTGAAACAGAATCCATGCGACACAGACTTGACACCACATATATAAAAAAAAAAAGATTAGAATTTTGAATTCCGGTTTCAGGAAAGATCAACACTTTATCAAAATTGTAAATTACAGATCGAGATGATAAAAATAAAGAGAGGAGGAGGACGTACTGCCGGCAGTTTCCTCGGCCATACAGAGAACGGTGAGACCATCGGTGCGCTTAACGTGGAAGACGTAGCGATCCTGAGAGTAGGAGACGTTGCTGTCGTTGTTCCCTGGGACCTTCTCCAGGATCTGCTTTGCGATCGTGCTCGCATTCGTCGACGTCGCCGTGAACTCCGCCAGCACCACCGTCCCACGCGCCACCAGTGCATACAGGATCGCCATTTCCTCCGATCAACAAAACTCGACCGCGACGGTCACCGATAGGGAGGAAGGTCAACGGAAGAGGAGGTTTCCCGCGGAAACCAGACGAATCGCCAGATCAATCACAAAGAGAGAGAACCACCAATAGCAGCTTCTCACCTTTCTGCGTATAATTGAATCTCTCTCTCCTCTCTTCCCTCTCTCTCCTCTCGCTCTCTTGGAGTTTAGCTGGAGCTGGAGACCTTTTCGCCTCTGGCAGATTTTAATAATATTTAATTTCGGATAGCTACGGAGATATAATTAAAGGGTCATTTCATGTCATCAAATGTTAAAAAAACAAAACTAAGGGTCATTTAAAAAAATTCCAAAATAATTTGATTTAAGTTAAAATTTGTAAATGTAAAATGCAATTTTTGTTTCATTATCATAAACATTACCTCTACACCAAATTATATAGTTTTGAAGGCGTATTTGTAAAGAGTGAAATTTGAAGGTGAAACAAAATGTGTACATATGTTTTTTTTTTTTTTGAACATCCAAAATCCTCTTGTGTACATATGTTATGTAAAACAAATTGTGTTATTTACCAAAAATATTTTGTTTTCCGACCAAATAAAATAAAAGATAGAAGATGACATGGATAAATGACTGAGCCCAACCAAACTCAGGCTTACAAAACATGCAATAGCGAGCTCAGATATAAACCCAACTCAAACCCAAAACCAAAACCAAAACGTGGTTCACGAGTGACGTCCCAAACCGAATCTCACGGGAAGAAGGTGAGGACATATACATATATATACACGGTAACGGCAGCCTTCGCGCCTCCGTCAAATGACGTGTTGTCCTCTCGGCTTTTCCGTTAAAGTAGACGACACCGCCGTTTATCGCCGTGGTCCGTGGAATTCAACCAGAGGACCCTGACTCTGAGAGACGCCATCTGGTCCTCCTTCTCTCTCTATCTCCCCCTCAATTCCACCTCGATCTGACGATCTTCATAAACCCTACTCTTCGATCTTTTGCTCAGATTTGTGTTTTCTCGATCGGGCAGTCTCCGATTGGATTTGATCGGAATAATTATATTCGGGTTCGGAAATCTGGAGAGAGAGTTAGCTAGAGTTTGGTGGCGATGATGCAGAGACGGAGTCCGCCGAAGCACAGACATGATGGCACGTCGCCTCTTCCATTGGGGATGGACTGGAGCCCTCCGCCACGCAAATGGGTGAGTTCCAGAATTTTTTTTTGGAATTTTATTATGCTTCTTTAGAAGTGCCTTGCTCGAATTCTGTAGTTACTGTAGCCTGATATATATATGCTCTTCATTGTTCTTGCTATATCTGCTGAATATGAAGAAATGTGGATATTTATGCTAGTGAGTCCCAATCTATTTGAAAAGCTACTGTAGTACCACCAAGTCCAATGGTAAAACTTACCACAAAAGGCATTATTTGTTCCCTCTCCCCAGTTATGGAAGATTCCTAACAGTTAGCTGAAGCTACTTTGTACAATTGGTGAATTCTGTTTCTTACTCAGTTCCCTCAGGAAACTGACTATTTGTTAACTTTCGTTGAACATCAGGGGTAGCTAAATCTTTACTTATGATCTTTGGGTAGCTGCTGGCTGAGAAATATCATTCTGCTCAATTGAATTCCATATATGTACAGTTGGAGACTTCAAGGAAATAAGATTTTGATGTATTTTTATGCAGAATGGTAGAGATACTGTTTGGCCTCATGACCCTCGAACCGGATGGAGTTATTGTGCTACAATACCCTCGTGGGTTGTTCTTCCAAAGTCTAGAAATTCAGATCCTGTAGTGGTAACTTCAAAAATTTAAGGCTCCAGTATTTATCTCTTGCATGGGCATAATTTTCAGTCTTTATCTTCTCGTAGCTGATCTGATTAAGTCGACCATATCTTGAACATCTTTGGACAAATGAATTTCAACATGAACAACGATATATTAGTTTCCTGTTCTACCTACCTTGCCTACTGGAGTGTGCCCTTTCTTTTTACAGCTGAAGAGTTTTACTGTTGTACATATCATAGATTACTCCAATATTAAATTGAACTTACTTACATGTATAACGTTTTAGAGGAACAGTTTTACAGGGTTCAGATTAGTGTGCAATCTCCTGAAGGTGTTACCACAATGCGAGGAGTGTTGAGAAGATTTAATGATTTTCTTAAGCTATTAACGGATGTAAGAACTAGTTCTCCTTGAGCATCACCTAATCCAAGTCTCCACTTTTCACTTCTCAATGATATTATTTAATATGCAATTTCATGTTTTCCTTTCAGCTTAAAAGAGCGTTTCCCAGAAAAAGTTTTCCATCAGCTCCCCCCAAAGGGCTGTTGCGTATGAAAAGCAGAGCAGTTTTAGAAGAGGTATTGCATTTTTTCCTGGGGCTAGTAGAATATACGGAAAGCCATGTTGTACTCAACAATAATGTTACAACTGTTCATGCAAACAATCTGTTTCACAAGTGATAGCTGTGACCTTGTTGCAGAGAAGGTGCTCTCTTGAGGAGTGGATAACGAAGCTATTATCTGATATAGAATTGGCAAGAAGTGTAGTAGTTGCATCCTTTCTTGAACTAGAAGCTGCTGCTAGGTCTGGTATGAGCTATTACATTACGCACTTTAGCCGTGCATTGGTAAATGCTGTTATGTGTCACTAGAGTCTAATGTGATTTGCTTTTCAGCATGCCAAGATGTAGATCAGAATGCTTCCGATGCCAATAGCTCAAGTTCGTCGCCTATGGTTCACCCAAATTTGAGCTTGTTTCAGGCTGGCGGCAGTTCTTCTCTCACATCTGACTATGGCAGTGATACTGCTTATGAAACATCTGAGCTTGGATCTCCAAGTGTAGGACAGGATGATATTTCTGAAATTGGTACCGAAGATTTAACTTTGGATGAAGAAGTAACAAATCCAATAGAGAAGCTCGTTAACTTTAGCATGTCCAACATTGACGAGGGACTTTCAATGAGCCAAACTATTCTAGAGCAACTTGAAGACTTTCCCAAACATAAAGTCCGCTCAAGATATGTGAATAATATCTTAGGGAAGGACATGTATAATGGAAATGCTTCTAAAGGTGTACTTCTTGCTAACAATGGCTCACGACTTCTCTCTGAACCAGAATCATCAACTCCCTCGGTAATCCATAATAGAAAGCTTTCTGTTGAGAGTGCTGACGGGTTTTCTCTACACACCGGTGAGACATCAACATCTGGTCTCCTAAGTTCAAGCAGTGATAGTCACTTGGATTTACGCCGAGGTCCTGGTGGATCGCTTGGAACTGGGCTTGTTTATAACCCGGAGAGGCAGGGTAGTGCACAAATAGTTCTTCCACTGGACCTGCGTAATAAATTGAACAGGATTCTGTTAGCCACGAATGAGAGACTTGTCAATGCAAAAACAGATATGGAGGATCTTATAGCAAGACTAAATCAAGAGATAGCGGTGAAGGAGTACTTGAACAAAAAGGTACAATAAGAAAAGTAACCCTGAATTACGTTTTACTATTTCCATCCTTTTTTTTTGTTTTAAAACATCTGTGTCTTATTCTTTTTTCTTTGGAGCGAATGGTAGTGTTGTATAATCTTGGTTTTACTGCTCAGGTTAATGATTTAGAAGGGGAACTTGAAACTACTAAGCAGAGAAGCAAAGAGAATTTGGAGCAAGCTATTATGACCGAGAGGGAAAGATTTACTCAGGTGCAGTGGGATATGGAAGAACTTAGACAAAAATCTTACGAGATGGAAATGAAGTTAAAGTCGAGAGAGGTATGATTTGAAATAGCTCTATGTTTATAAAACTATTTCCGCAAACAAACTGGTTGTTACATAATATCTCTCTACTAGAGAAGCACGCTGATGCAAATCATTACAACAGGATGGGAGCTCATATGCAGAACCCACTGAACAGTCAACTATTTCTGAAAGACATGTTTTGTCAAAAGAATTAGATGCCAGTAAACAACAGCTGGAGAATCTCTCCAGGAGATATGATGAATTAGAGGCAAAATCAAAAGCAGATATTAAAGTTCTTGTCAAAGAGGTCAAATCTCTCAGGCGTTCTCATGTGGAACTTGAAAAGAAGCTGACTCAATCTCTGACAGATAAAACTGAAGCGGAGGTAAATTTCTGGCTAGTATAGTATTATATATATATATATATATATATTATATCTCATTTGGCAACGCCATGGGTTTGTGGATTTTACTTAGCATATATCAGAACAAAAGAGACAAGACAACTGAGACTGAAACATGTTGCACTTTTCAGAAACTACTCCAACAGGAAAGAAAACTACTTGAGAACACTGTAGCAGCTAGAAAAAAACTGTTTAGTGACTGCATAATTCTCCACGACCGGCTTAAAGAGTACAACTTGAAATTGTCCATGGACGGAAACGGTAACTTCGTAGAGGACTCAACTACAGTATCAGACGCTATGCGTTTGCTGTCAATATCTGATGATCAAATTGAGGAGGTATTAATGCATCTCTTCTTTATCTCCATTTAAAATAAAAAAGTTTCCCAACTTAGTATATTCAGTCACATCCAAGAGTTCCTATAATAGGAATTTCTTTTCAGTGCGTCTCTGTACATGCATCAGGATAAAGTTATTTGTTAGTGGAAGATAGTTAGGTTCTCGCTACACTAGTGAAATATTGTTAGAAAACCCTGACTAGTAAGTTGCAATACTCTGTTACGCTGTGCATTTTACGAGTTATTAACAATGGTGGCCATTTTCAGGCTCAGCTGCTTGCCGGGCTTGATGAAAATTCTGCTGCTCAAGGCAACGCCATGGATAAATCTATCAGCGTGGATACTGAAACAAGAATCATGGAGGACGAGCTGAGGAAGATATTGGCAGATATCTTTGTTGAGAATGCCAAAATGAGAAAACAGGTGAACGCTGCAATGCGTCGTGCTCTCCAGAAAGACGGAAAGATCACCGAAGATGTGAAAGAGGAAAATGGTGATGAGAAAGAGGAGCCCTCAACAGAAACATTGAACATATAATAGGTATAATAATAGTTGCTTTTGACCGGAGAATAGAGTTCACAATGAAAACTGTCATTTTTTTTAATTTTCTTTGATCAAAGGACTGGTCGCTTTCTATTACAAAACGGTTGGTCTCTTGGAGAAGCAAATTAGTTGAAGCTGTGTAATTAAGATATACACATGTGACCACCCCGTTTGATGAGTTCATAAGGAAAAACATGTGTATTTACGTATGGTTGTTGTATAATTGTATTTGCAATGTTAAATCCTTTGCATATTATTTTACTCTTTCTTGTGTTCGGAAATCTGGTTTTTCCGAGTATTTCAGCAACTGCGATTAGGTGAAGTCTGTAACATCTTTAACATGTAATCATTTGTCGAACATTGAAATAAGATTGCGACCAATACAAGGGTAATCCGAATTTCCGGTTCGGTTTTTAGATGGCGACTTTTAGTTTGTTTTGGTTTTCGGTTTTAGAGTGAACCAAAATAATATTGATTGGTTTGGCATGGCTTTGATTAAAGATTTCGGTTCGGATTGTTTTTCCAAATCGGTTCGATTCAATTCAGTTGTTGGTTTCAACTTCAGTTTGGTAAGAATCGGATCAGGTTTGTCCAAATCGAATACCAAACTAATAATATCCCGGTTCGAAAAAAAAAAAAAAAAAAAAAACACAGGGCCTGCCGTGTTTCGGAGTTCCTCCCCAACTTTCCCATCGTCTAGTCTAAATGAACTGAGGTTTAACACTCTTTAGGGTTTTATCTCCAATCCACGGAAATTCCTCGCTCGCCAATTTACTGCTTTTTAGCTTTGGGGACACTAGCGAAGGATAGAAGATGGATACAAAAGTCTCTGTGTCTCCCAAAAGCCTCATCGATCAGATTGTCGTCCGTACTCAATTCCAAAAAATCGTTTTTTAGGGTCGATTTGATTTGGTCTCAACGAAACATGAGTTGTTCTGCCATGGGTTTTTGCTTTTCAGGTTCCAGGTGATGTTGTTCTTGATTTGTCAAACATGACTAACCAGACTATCAAGCTCGGCAGTGGCCTCCGTCAGGTTTCATCTTCCTCAATTTGTTCTTCTCTTTCTTGTGTGTGTCTGTGTATATGAATGTAAACGTTATTCTAGTGAGCACTTGATTTGTGATACATACGACTGCTTCCATGAGCTGCAAGCATGAAGATTGACATTGTGTTTTGGCTTCTTTCAGGATGGTGATGCTATCTCTGCCGTGAGAGCTGGGAAGTTAAGTTACTCGAAGCCAAACACGTATTGGGTCGAAAGTTCTCATAAACGGGTGAGCTCAATGGGTTTTGACATTGTTTACTATGAGATGAATCAATCTTGCCTTGCTGGTTGCTTCTCTACTGAGTTTGTCTTGGATTATCCCGAATGTTGTCACCTGCTCAGAGTCAGTGAGTCTCGAATTGATCAATCATGTGTCAGAACTAACAAAACTGCACAATTGCATAAGGAGGATTCTTGCTAGTTTATTGATCATGTGCCTCTGGCTTGATGAATTGGAGAAGTTACCTTTCATCTACCACTCTAGTTTTAAAAACTATTGTAGGAGTATTGGGGGTCAACTTTGTTGATTATATGCACGTCTCATTCTCTTTGTTATTGACTCTGTTATTATGGTTTTTGCAGTACATACCTCGCCTTGAGGATCATGTTCTTGGAATTGTGGTAGATTATAAAGCAGAGGTAAGTCCATTGAAGTTTTACTTGTATAGATTCTTCAATTTTGTTTGAAATCCTACTGTTGTTTGCTCCCTCTCAGATTGGTCATCTCTGAAACTCAAGCATTTTATTGTTTGATAGCGGTCAAATACGATAAATTTAGTAATCGTTTATCAATTTATGTCGATCAGTGTTTCATCATGTTACCCTGGATAAGTAAATAAATGTATATAATCAGAAGAAAAAAACTGATACCATAGTTGGACAAACAAATGTTAACTGACTTTTTCAATTTTTCTCCTGCAGTTTAAGTTTGCTTCACGCATGAACGTAGATAATTTTAGGTGCTGAATTTTTTATTTGACTAATTGATTCTTTGTGGCATTGCAGAATTTTTGGGTAGACATAAAGGGAGCTCAATTGGCGCTTTTGCCGGGTCTTGCATTTGAAGGAGTAACGAGAAGAAATATGCCCAAGTTTGAAGTATGCTCATTCTGATAAATCATCATCTTGTTTTCACATTGAATTAGATGTGTTTTGCTTGTTACTCGTAAGTTAACATAGATTCATATGATAAACAGGTCGGCACTTTGCTTTATGCTCGGGTTGTCAAGACAAACACTGGAATGAATCCCGAGCTGTCCTGTACTGATGGTTAGTCAAAATCTGAGAAGTCTAGAAAATCCTGATTTTCCCCTTTTTTCTTACTGTAAAATCTTTTCAAAACTAATTGTTACTTGTTACGATGCAATTAGCAAGCGGCAAAGCTGCATTGTTTGGACCCTTACGAGATGGTTTCATGTTTGAAACTTCAACTGGTCTTTCAAGAATGTAAGATACATATTCTCAGAAACTGTCTCTCTTAAACTCCATCTGTCTTCTCTCGGCTTTAAAAGATGTTAACTTTTTAATTTTTATAGGTTGAATTCACAAACGTGCCCGGTCCTCGAAGCTCTTGGAAAGAAACTCTGCTTCGAGATCGCCATTGGCATAAACGGCAGAGTGTGGGTGAACGCAACAGCTCCACGTTCAGTCATTATCGTGGCCAATGCGATAATGAACTCAGAATCCTTAAGTGGGACTCAGCAGAGAATCATGGTTGAGAAATTGCTTGCAAAAATTTCAGACTAAAACGTTGTCAGTAGCAAAGGGTATTGTTTTTTTTTATAATGTAATTGAACCTTTGATACTCTTTTAACAAGTGATTTTGATTTATTGAAACACATTTTATTATACAGTGGAACTAGCGATTAAATATTCCACAATTCAAGAATGTCTAATATGTTACAACATTGAGCCAATAAACTACTATTGGGGCAAGTGTACTGATATGATTGACGGAATGTATAGGCTATTTTAAATTACATTTGAGAGAGAGAGGGAGGCTCGTATCTGCAAACACAGTCATATATGTTTCCCTTTATCAACTTCTCAGCCAATCTCTGATTCTTCACCATTGCTAGCTGCAAAAAAAGGAAAAGAAAGGTTTCAGTCAAAAGTTTCAATAGCAATTTCAGAATGAGAATTTTCTGTCAAGTGGGGTTTCAAATCAAACCTTGAGAGCCTCGCATTTGAATTGAGCGTTGAAGTTGGTGTGAAGTGCTCTTCCCATACCTTCCAAGACAACCTGCAAAATCATCAAACATCAACCAATGAACAAAGCTTACCTTTTGTGTTTTGAAATTTTTTCATGTAAGAAACAGAGAGATGTTTTAGTGTATACAAGATCAGCGTCTTTGGCTGCGGCTGCAAGCTCGGAGCTGACTTGTCTGAGGTCGATGCAAGGACTTCCGCATCCATTTTCAACAACCATCAATGGTGCTGAAGTTGAGTCCTTCTTTGAACCATCCCCAGGATTTACCATCGCATCCACAAGTAAGCCTCCCATCTCTGCCGCTCTTCTCAGAATGTCACAGTGCTTCAAGAGTAAAGACAGAACAAACGAGTTAGTTACCTGAAAAACATTATAACCACTGCATAGAATCCAAAACTTAAACGAGAAAACCTTAGCAGCCCCGGCGACTATATCAGGGAGTTCCATGGCGGTCACGTCGTTAAGAGCAGGAAGAGAGTTTGCCACTAGAACAACCTGGACAATCATAGTAACAATTGTTTTAGTGTTTTCATCAACTAATTTCACAAAGAAAACCATTTGGCCTGTGCATTTGGTCTTGTGAAGGGTATGACGAAATTTTACTATTAGACGAAGAGCTAGAGAGATATACGTACTTCAGTCCCACGACGGAGAAACTCTCGGGCAAGAGGAAGCATCCCAAGAATGACGTCTGCTCCTGAGTTATCGACAAACAGTAACGCTCTTTTATGTCGATGAGGCTGCTTACCTACAGATCCAAGCATCCTTTCTTTGAAAGCATCAAAATCATCTACCTGGTTTTACGGATAACAGAAGATTTCCTTCCAGGTTTGAAATTAACAGTTCGCAAAGAGTAACCTCAGGGAAAAGAAGGAAAAAAAAAGGTGTTCTTCTCTCTCACCCTCCACGGTCTCTGCATCTTGTTACGACTCATTCTGTATATCTCAATGATGGTTCCTTTGTGATATAAATCCACGCATGCTCGAGATCCCCAGTCGAATATGTTTGCAGCAAGAACACCTTCTATAAGTGTAAGCAACCTCGCCTCCTGAAAATCCGAGCAAATTTTAAACAGAAATGAGAGAAGTTGTCTCATGTATGTACCAAACCATAAGCCTACTGAGAGACAGAGAGACAGAGAGAAGGTTTAAAGATCACAGACCTCGCTCATCGAATCAAGCTCCTCCAGTAAATCAGGTAAAACAGCAAGTGATGCCTCGTTCTCCCTATCGATTACAAAGATCGAGAGAGCATAAAAGAAACTTCAAGCAGAAGAGAGATAAGCCTATGTTTTACCTTAGCTTGATGCTTCTATAGGCATCAACAAACTGGAACTCCCTTAAGCATTCTTCCCTAAGTTCCAAGAGATTTGCTAGCCCCAGCTTTCCATATGCAGCAGGCTCTTCCATTAATCTACAACCAAAATAATTTGTCAGCAAAAAGGCAAAAGCACTTTCTTGAAGAATTTAACTATGAATTTTCTGTTTGGTAGATTGTGGACTGAACAGAGTGGGATTTGTTGTGATGAACCAAACCTTGCCAAATGAGCAGAAAAAGCACGAGCAAAAGCATCACCACGCCTTTTCGCATCCTCAGTTCCTCCTTCACTTGCCACAGCCTATAACCATGTCCATAGAATAACAGTAAAGCAAGAGTTACGAGCCATAAACAATCTTCACCACCCAGAAAGAAAGATTATTGAAAGTAAAATATTGAACTTTAAGCTCTACCGTATCAACAAGGTCTGGCAAATGCTCGGACAAAACTTTGAGCCAGTACCTAGACACCAAAACACAATAAGCAATCCAATAAAAGTTATAAAACCAATATTGTGGAAGATCAGCATCGAGCCTATTACTCACTCTCGTTCGCCTTGGTCTGATAGGTCAATCGTGTTAGGCTCATACCTGGAGTAGACACACACGAACATAAATCTTCCAAATATCATGAACAAACGGTAAACCATGAGATATATGTACAACAATACATTACACGGGGACATGTCACTTACATTTTCGGGTCGGCCAGCAATGGGAACACCTCCAGTGTGGGCACAAGATGGAGAACGCCAACATTTAAAGCACTGGCGTCAGATCTTAGAGCACTGCCTCTGGATGAGGGCACGTCAAACCCTCCAAGTCCAGTCGTTTTCGATGGAGCCATCGGTACAGGAGCAGTTATTTCAGTTCCTCTACGCACAAACTTTTCCATCCAAGAAATCTGATAGAAATCAGGAACGGCCCTTTCAAACTCCAAAACTTATCCAAACCGGAGTCAATATACACAACTCTTATGATGTCTCTATATAATTAGCGAACGAAAACTGAAAAAAGGTAAGAGCACCTGATTCCATCTCGTATTCAAAATTCAATGGACTATACTCTTATGATTCTCATTTAAACCTTTGATGTATACATAAAATAAAGAAAAGAATATATAACTGTTACAAAGATTTGACAACTATAATGGTATTGCTTTTGCAGCATATTCTATAATGGTCTTTCCTAGAGAATATTATAATGGTATGAAGCGTGCACTTTACCCAACACTAGGTATAAACGGTATCAATCATATTCCCGCACTTAATTACGGGACCTGTGGTTGTGAGCTTCAATCAAATAGAGCAACCTGAGATTTTGGTAGAACGTAAGCTAAATTGATTACCTTCTCGTTCAAATTACCGAGTGGTGGTCCGTGAATATTTCCTCCAGTGTACGGTGCACCCATTGGGAACCTCTCAACCAACTGATGCGACATTAAATCATCCAATCCATGCTTCTCATAGCTCATAAACGCACCCATAGCACCTAGAAAACCTTCATGCCTCAAGAACATAGCTTGCATCTCTCCTTTCGACCTAGTTTGATCAAACAATAAATTAAAGAGTTGAGTGATGAAGGTGGAGTACACATATCACATCTTCTAGGTCCAAGTTTACAAGTGAGCTTACCAGAAATGTACAGCAAACGAAATAGTGTCCATGGTATATGCATGACCCCTTATGAAAAATCCTCCAAAAAATATTCGCTTCAACCCAAAGCGAAGGGCGTTCAAATATGATATCTACATAGCAACACACTAATCAGAAACTCAAAATATGCGTAGGAATAAAATGAGAAAAAAATTAAAACTTATTTTGCTCAAAACCTTTGTACTCACGGCATACCTGCCCAATGTTGTATGAAATCATCCGCAATAGAGACAAGGAAATATCTTCAGGTCTGTAATCTTCCAGTTCCTTATTTTCAGAGATCGCCTTACCAAAACTAGAAGCTATTGTTGAAGCGGAGAGGCCAATCTGTTTAATGGATCAATGAGAATTGAAGTGAAAAAGCATTAAATAGGAGAGTCAGAGCAGTCACATCCTTCAACGAATGAAATCAGATGTAGGGTGATGCAAAGTAGCCCTTACCTTGGAGTAATCCATACCACCATAAATATCACCAACAAGCATGTCGATGGCACTATTGTCTCCTTTTTGGCTGAGTTCTAGCAATTCATCAAAACTAAAAAAACAGAGAAAGCAATCGTTAAGTATAGGAAACAAGAGTATGATAAACAAGCAGTGCAAAATCGGATCCATTTACCTCTTGCACTTCGTTAGAAGTCTTCCTAAGCCCCAATAGGTACCACCACCAACATTAGTCCCACTCACACGTTCAAACTTTCCTTCCCCATCAACCTAGACTTTCAAAAGACATTGTGTGAGACCATGCAATTTTCTGACCTCCCAGTACAGAAGTTCAAGGAGCAAGAACACACAACGGTTGGTCGAAGAAGTAGCAAATGTACACAAACCTTGATTATGCTAACACCAGATCCAACGTTCACAAGAAGATAGGGATACAAGTCATGGGGATCTATCTGTACAAATTCTTTTTCACCCTCCATGTGGGTGAAAGCTTCATGTCGAATAGCCTGCAGAAAAAAAAGCATTGGAAAATAAGAATAAATTTCAAATAAACACATGCAGATCGAGGAAAAAAAAGTAGAAAAATTGAAAATTTTCAATAGACTTTTCATAACAAATTAACTATACATATACGAAAACACACAGACAGTATAAAGGCACAACTACACATGCAGACACAAGATAAATGGAATGTTGCATAAAGAAAGGTGTTACCTTGAGCAAAAAATTTGCTCCAGAAACAAGGCAATGCATTTCATCTTCTTTTTCAATACTAACGCCCAGACGTTCCTTGAACAAGTCCGCAAATTTATAGGCCCCACCACCTGTGACCTGTAAGATATGTTTAAACAAGCAACCATCAACTAATTAATAATGACAGAACGAGCTACATATATACATCCGGAAAGAGCATCATAAGGTGATAATAAAGACAAAGCAAGCATGTCATCGAAATGGCCATTACCTTGATAACACCCGTCCCCAAAGGCAGGGTCTTTGAACTCCAAGGATAAGGATCTATTGAAATGGAGAAGGAGGCGAATTAAACAGTCAATCACTAGGAACTCATCTTATAAAAGTGAAAACAAAACAAAATTGTCAACTCGAAGGATAAGGATATTGCTTAATTAGAAGAATCTTTAGTCTAGTTACAAAAGTTAAAAATTTGACAAAACCCACATCAGCTTAGCATTGTCATTTTGTAAGCACAGCTTTCAAGTGTTCGGTGCAAAATCTTGCTAACATGAGAAGAGGGAAAAAAGCTTCAGGGGTGGAAGAAAGTTTTC